ATTAAAACCAAATATGTGAAATCCAAAAAAATTCCAACTTTTCCTAACTGTTCCAAAAATAACTCTTGGCTCGGAGTGTGCTGGATAAAAGTAAGACGCCACGCTCGTTAAATATATATACCGGTTTGAGTTATTCATCGGCACCTACGTCGTAGGGACATGCAACCACACGTCATAAAAAAGCACTATCGAAATAAATTTTGAGTGCGTGATCTCAAACCAGAGGTCACAGATTTTGGACTTTAAGACATACGTACATTTAGCGTTGGGGGATATGATATTTAACGCCATATCTTCGTCTCAAAGTCCATTCTCTGATGTATCCCAGAGTCCCTTGGTCTAAATGTAACTCTAAACACAACAAGAGTGCCCAAAGTAAATTTAACACCTGAATGCTTGACGTAACTTACCTACGTGGATACATGTGATTCTCTAACAATACCTCATTCCCCACGATATGTGTTTTTAGTTTTGAGGCACAAACATAAAAATTACAGGAATCACTAATAACCATACAAAATATTGGTAATCTTGCTCTTGAGGTTACTTGAGTGAACTGTTCTGCGCATTACAGGTTACGCAGTGCAATACAAGGAATCATATTTCTCGTGGCTTCTTCCCGGTCCCGTGTTTTGGGTCCAAAGTACAAAAAGTCATATTAAAGTTCTTTTGAAGACAAAGATTCGACACAATTCAGAAACTACGGGAGCTTCACAATATCTGGTGCTGTTCTTTGATTCACACGAATTTTTTGGCAAGATTCGTGATACCATTTTCAACACGAAATCACCGTCAACTACCGTCAATATCAGCGCCTGTCAAGGCAAGAGGGTTTTTACTCTTCTTTTATCTCGCTCGATCTCTGGCCCTGTATCGGGAAAGAGTTTTTCTAGTGCACCAAGATCGTGCTGTTGAATAATGTGTGTAAACATGTGTGTGGTTTAATCACTTCGTTTTCTTTTATAGCAAAGCGCCTCGAAGAATTTGACGCGAACTTCAAGAATGCCTGTTCTTTTCGAAGAAGGCGAAGAGAATTCACGGCCATTCAACGGGCTCAGAAGAATACATAATCAGTCTCAACAGCCGGGAATTTTCCCGCCAAATACCTTCTCTATCACAAGCGATTCATGTGACTTTCTTTGTGCCCTTGGGCGACCTTGAAATCAAAATAATACACACTTTTTGACTGGATGGTCAAACATAAACAAAATAGAAGAGCCAATCAAGGTAAGCGTACTATAATGTAAACAAACTTTAAATACCAAAATTCGTTTCATTCACGTATCTCGCTCTTACTACGCAAAGTTTGACATTTAAATTTTTTCTAAAAAGAAATTTCTTTCTGTACTTCTTCGAACCTTCGTGAGGCAAGTTAAGAATCATTCAACAGAAGTATGCGACATGGATTTTTCACAAGCTTTGCGCTTGATGATTTCTTCCTAACTGTCACTTCGGTGGAGATTTCTAACTCTTTGAAAAACCACGATGCACTCAGAGAAAATGGTGAGAATTTTGCTGCGTCTTTCCTTATGCAAAAATGAGTTTTAATTCCTTCGGAAAATTTAGCCTGCAATATCTCAGAAAACGCAGTACTTTTAATTCTAACGGCGACTTCCTTGTTTTCCTATAAACAGGCGGGTAGCAGAGAAAGTTACTACGCAATACCCCTGAGATCTACACGCAGCGATAATTTGCCTTCTCAGTTTAAAAAGGTAAGAAAATTCCTCAAGAAGTTTTCACTATTATTTGATTTTCCGTCGTTAAACACCATCAAACAGTTTTTCTTCGTGTGCCATTTCCTAATTTCGTCAACTTAGGTTTATAAAAGGTGTATTTTGTCGCCGAATGTTACAAAAAATGTGCTACGTAATCACTTCAATTCGCAAAAATGGGTTTCTCAGCCCTTACGGTTTTCTACAATAGAAGAATTCTACATGGTTTTTACTGATTTTTTTTTTATCTTGAGGGAGTCTGTGGTAAACTTCGCCCTGTTCATTAAGATAACTTTTTTAAAGACCTTGGTACCCGACAAAGACGGTTTTATATATTACAGGCAAAACTGTCATTAGAGTTGTTTTAGGTACATTTCGATACGAAATCGAAATGATTTTTTCCTCGGCAATTCACACAATACCAGCTTAGAAAATACGACATTCCCTTCAAGATAAGTCAAACCGTAGGTTTGTTTCATCAAAACAATCGTGCCTAAAATGGTTCATGCAAATAAATATTGCATCAGATTTGTTCGCATTTAAATAACTTTATGTCATTACCAAAACAAAATTATTATTCATTGTCTGAGTTTGGTAAAATGGAAGAGTTTTCAATAACACACGTGCACCTTAGCAGATATGTTTAAACATTGACAATCATTCTTGATAATTTTCTTTGGCAGTTATTTGGGATAATAGTTGTGGTCTTCTATCTTCTTCCCGTGGTTTCTGCAAAGGTTAGACTTTGTGGTATTTATAACATATATATATTACTATCTTTGAAGCTAGAGTTTCATGAACATTATTTATTGTGTGTCTGGGCCGGAAAAATTTACTCTGCTCTTTGGTCAGCAATCTCCGAATATATTACATAACAAATTTCAAATCATGTCATTACGGCAGGAATCTAACCACTATACTTCTACATACACTAAAGTTTATCACTTTAAGCAATAACAGAAAATCGATAGGAAAGGAACAATTCTTCCTTTTATATTCAATATCTCCGCTAGTATAAAAACAGAGCTTACTAAAACACTCACTCTGGAAGGGAAAAAATACAATGATATAACTCTTTTGGAAAGAAAATTGTCTTCATTAAGCTTTTCAATTTCGAAGTACATTTATTCGGTAAATTCTGGCCAAAGAAACGTCAAAATTATTTGAAAAAACAAATAACTCCGTAGACCACCGCCACTTTTCAAATTTTTGGGAAATTTAAAATTTTGCCTTGTTTCACGAGGAAATTATGACCTCAAAACCCGATGGAAATTGGTCATATCAAGAATAAAAACAAGGTTGTTAATGGTGGTGAGTGTTCACGTTACTGGCACCTCTTCCGCTCCCTTTTGCCCGAAAAAATTACCATTATTTAAATCAGTTGGGTTCCAAGCTCTCTTAAAAGACTAAGGACATACTTCTCATTAAAAGAAAAGTAAATCCTTAACATAAAAATGGTGATATGAAAAGCATCGATTTCCATATGTTTACATTTGTCAGATGACGCATTTGCGAAGCCTCATAAAGGATGGTTTACCTCAATTCTTTGTTTTCCATTTCAAGCTACGAGTCCAGATAACCTTTCAAAGGAATTGAAAACCCTTTTCGGTTGTTATTATTCTCCAAAACCATCTTCAGAAGCTTTGAGGGTAGGGGAGTATGTCCGATCGTGATCCGCCATAATGAAATGTCGCAATAGCTAATGTTGTGTCTTCATGTACGCCTCATTCAACTGTCCAAGCTCAAAAGATAACGATCTTTACGACATGGCAAATAATAATTCCTTGCTCTACATTTGCATTTGGGGGTTGGGGGAGACAAAGGTTCTAAATATATTTTTTCTCCTACGGTAGTTATAAGTATACCTTTGCCCGAGGAGTAATTAAGCATTGATTCACTGGAATATTACACAGCTTGAAGGTTGTCAGGATAACTGGTAGAACAGGCAGATAATATGATCACTTCTCGATTCAATTGCGTGGTGCCTCATGTACCTTAAAAAAAAGCAAAATGATACCTGTTCTGCAAAAGTGTCATTATACAAAACAGGCATACAGAACCGGATATTTGCTTTAGGGCAGTCTGTAGATGACAGTTAAATGACAGTTGAGTGTGGCCTACATCACCAGTGAAGTGGACCATTTTTGATTTAGTTCTGAAGAATGAAGCTCTTCCGCTTTCGAAGCTTTCGAAGCCGTACCGTTAATAAAAGAAACTATGTTGATTCATTTGCAGAATCATACACAGGAAATTTCCATTTAACCCCCTGCATTTCGTATTATTATTATTACAGTTATTTGATCAAGAAAATAATGACGAAACAATAGCTAAAATTTTGACTAAGGCTTTCCTTAACAATAATATGGAATTAAGCGGGAATTCCTTTCCTCATACTCTCAGTGAGTATGTATGTATGTACTCTCAGTCAATAAATGTGAAACTTAATTCTTATTTCTTTTATTTTTCTAGCCGACGCCGGGTCAGCAAAGTCCTTGCGAACCAACCCAACACTGGGTTGAAGACGAAGATGGGTCACACCAGTGTATAAATTGTGGAAATTGCCCGCCGGGACAAGGTCTCTCAATAGAGTGTGGCAGTTCTAAACTATTACCTTTTAAAACCATGGTGGTCTGCGTGCCATGTATCGCAGGAGTTTCATTTTCCAGATATAAAGATTCTTCCAAATGCATTCCTTGTGCATCCTGCTCCAAAGGTCAGGTTGTGGAACAAAGCTGCTTGCCAGAGTGGGATGTTAAGTGCACAAATAAATGCTCCAGCAAGGAAAGGTACAAATATTAAAACAATTATACATGGGTTGTTCCATAGAATGATTATTTTAAGTGTTATAACTGTGAAATGAACATCTATCAGCTTTTGCTGATAATCTTGTTCAAGCAAAGTGTTTAGTTTAATGCTGAAATAGGAGCAGACTTTGAGGAATATTGAAGAAGATCTGAAGATCTTTATGTAGTCGGCATGCAAGTGATGATGTTGAAGTCCTCATTATTTTACTGGTTAGGTATTATGATCTGGACATGGGGGATTGTCTCAAGTGCTCAAGATGCTGTGGCGATGATAGAGATGTGGTGGTAAATGAGTGCAAAGAGAAGTTGGGAGACGGCTCAAACATGATTTGTTCATTTGACAGCAGTGTCAACCGCTGTGACCAAACAACACCTCAACCAACACCCATCATCAGCCATGTTGACCCCAAACATGATGTTCCTTATACCACTCAAAAAAGTAATCATTCCATTCAAGCTAAGGATCAGGACTATTTGGCAGCAATCGTTATTACAGTGGTGATAATAGTTGTTTTGGCTTTTTGCCTTTGTTGGTTCTTTTGTATGAGGAGACTGACGCAGATGTGTAATACTATTGTTGAGGAGGAAGACCATCACAGTTCACCAGCGATGGAGGGAAAGTTAACTTCTAACCATAAAGAACAATCTGGTAAGAATGCGAAGCTTTATTCTGAATTAGCACTGATAATATTTAGTTTTGAAATATTGAGCTTTCTTAAGCTCAAGAACAGAATTGATAGAAGAGGATCGTGACTGAGACGTACCAAATTGCAGAAACACTTTTAATATATGTCAGAATCTCTTAAGAATCATTTGCCTTATCGTGTCAATCCAACTACCCTAAAAGGGACCCAAAACAAAGATTTCTGCTTTTGATTATTGACTTCCATGCAATATCTAAGCTTTGCTATACCCTTACTTGTGGTTTTACGCAATGGACCTGCACTTTATCAAATCTATAACATTCTGAAGAGATATGGACTGAGGTAGAACTCCTTCAGGGTTGGTTTCTTTGCGCTATGCTGGTATATATTAATTACTAGATGCAGTAATTAAATCCTTTTCGATTTTTCTTATAGACGACTCATGCGGAAACCTAAGGGAAACTGACACGTCGAATAAGGTTGGAAAAGCTCTGACAGATTCGGAGGAACCCTTGCTGTGTTCGGAGGAGGTAAATAAAAAATAATCATTGTTTACTCGTAATTTACAGACATTATAAGGTAAAATTTATCACTGGTAAATTTAGGATATGTCGCAAGGTTGGGTTGTTATTTACAATGATCATTCCCGGTTGATGTTGTAGTTGAGGAACCTTACAAAACCAATGGTCATAAGTCCCTCAAATCATCGCGTAAGTCCAAAACGCATTGAACATTGCTCTGATACATAGATTTTGTCAGAAATCAAAGCATACTTTAATTATTACCAAAGGTAGATAAATTGATGTCAAAACTGAGTCAAGGTAAGTTTCAATATGTACCTTAAATAATCCAATTTTCAGAGTAATCCAAGACATGCCTGAAAAAGAGTTGCAAAAAAAAAAACTGTCCTGCACACCAGTGGTACACTTCGATGCGAATGAAATTATATTTACAAATACTTAATAGTCAAAGTTTTTGTTTCTTTATTGCCTTAGGGTGTTCTGGAAAACTTGGAGGACGCTCAAACCAGTAAAGCAGAAGGTGTGATTGACGTTCAGTTTTGTTCGCAATTTAAGCTAACCCTCAATTGTATTTTGGATAACTGGAATATCTCTTGACTATCACCATACCATTATATAACACAAGCCATCGAAGATAAGGTAGTCTTATCCTGAGCTATTTCTTTGAATTATAGGTCCGAGTTTTCTCATCTTTGTGATTTGTAGGAGCTAAATGAGTTTGGACAAAGTAAAACTCAGAGGACGAGAGAAATTCCTTAAAACCTTTCTATTTTTTGTTAAAGTGTCATTTATTTAATCTCGAGTTCAGAATGAAACTGTTAGATCGAGAAGTGGAAAGCGTTCTGTTTGGTTGGAAGCAAATGTAAAAGGGTAATTTTTTAAGGGGGGGAAAAATCAAGAAGATAAATCCAGTTATTAGAGATATATTGCTATCGTGGTGGTTATAATATTGTCTCTCTTTGCTTGTCTCTTGTCGGTTTAGATTCGAAGCTACTTAGCAGCTTGTTGGAGTGTGAGTCTTACCGGTACCTAAAGAAAGTCTGTGTGCGTTTGGACACAACCACGGCAGGCGCTGGTGACTATCGTGATGTCTGTTTTCACTATGGCATTAATCGTTATGAGATTGCCTCAGTGTATGAGAAACACAGCGATGGGCCATCCAGAGCTCTAATCGATCACTTGGCAGCTACACATGTACAGCTAACAGTGGCTGACTTTGTGGGTGTGGTAAGGAATGTAGCAGAGAGAGACGATGTTGCTAAAGTTCTAGAGGAATATGATTCGCAGAAGGAATGAGTGACAAGGGTTTTTTTTTTTTGGAGAAACTTACTCCCGTTATTTTAGGTAGTTGCAAGTATTTTGTAAAATCGTTTCATCTTGTTAAATTTTTGAGAGTTAGGTTATAATCGGCATGACATAACTTTCATCCATGGTTTGCTAAAAATTTGAATACGAGAGCTGTCTACATTCTATATACGCAAGCTACAAATGAAAAAGTTCCAGTAAAAAAACTGTTAAGAACCATAAAATTATTTTAGTTGGATAATTTTCGTAATTTCTGTTTCAAGAAACATGTTAATTATTATTTAATATTTTGCTGTATTTTGTTAAACCAAAAATATATATTTTTTAATTTTTGTTTGTATTTTTGAAAATACTTCGTCAAATATCTTAAACCATTTCTAGTTGGTAACATTTTCTTTTTTAAATTTTATAAGAGAATTTGCGGAAAAATTTTTAATTACTCCTCCTTAAGTTGTAGTTTTCGAAAAATTTAATAAACTACTAATTGTGTGCTAATTAGGAAAAGCAAAAAAAACACGCAATAAAGTTTTGTAAAATATAATTTGTACGTAGTTTTCTAGCCTTTTTTCACGCATCATTTGTCTTTTTAACATGACCCACATTTTTGTTTACAACGTTGCATTGTTTCATTCCCTTGCTTTCATTCTTGATTTTAAATTTCTCTCATGTCTGCCTTTATCTTCTGTATTCAGTTTGCTTATTAGTGTTGCCAAATATCAACTTATAATCAAATGCACTAAAGAAGACACTTAGTCCGGCGAAACAAACCTAACCAATCACTGATTTTCTGTAAATAATTTAATAAGAATAACAATGATCACAAGTCAACAAATGATAACCGCTGTAAACTCTCATCAGAAAGTTAATACATTTCAGAGATGCCGACGACTAGATATGTCAAAGAGGTACAAAGTAATTATAACTACGGTATTCTGTTTATTGAGGAAGCAACAAAAATTTACCGAAGACGCAACAAATTGCAACAGAATATTTTGTTAACGATTGTCGTCTTCATTTATCCTTTTTTACTTTTTTCTTCCCGTCGGTTTTGAATTCTGAAACCTCAACAATATTGACGAAATTTCTTCTTGGTCTTGAACACAAGTCGATCAGTATCACAGGAGGAGTTAATGGTTTTGTCGGCAAGACTGAAACAAGAAAGATATTAATTAACAGGGAAAATATACTTAAGAGAAGTTTTCCCTTCATGGTTAAGACTTAAAAGCTATTTAGGATTGGGATTTGGTCACAAATTTGATCCCAAAAAGTATAAATTGAGGCTTAATTTTCCCAAAAAAAAGCTTTGAGCTCTCTCCACCTGTATGATCCTCGTGTAAAGAAACTGATGGCTAAGATTTGCGTTGATCAGAATAATGATGTCTGATAGAGGACTGAGTCAACGACAGCTGATTTGTACCATTTGGTCAAGAGGTAGCAAAAACATAATACCAATCATCATCGTCATTAGCTTACTGATTTTCGCTATATTTATCACTGCCGATATCAGTATTATCCTCATAATTTTCATCATCATCATCATTATTATTATTATTATTATTATTATTATTATCATTAGTTTTACTTGAGGGAGCAATGGTTGTTGAGCAGTAAATTACCAATATTGGGAGAAGCATGTTTTGAGTTATTTCCCCATATTCCATTGTAATCCTTATGTGTTCTTCGCATAATTCACCCACGGGACCAATAAACTTTACAGTCAATGGTGCTTCGGCCCCAGGCGTCTGCATAAATGGCTGACTCATCCACCATATCTGATGCATAGTTATCATCTAAAAAGTAGGAGGTTGCAAATAATGTGAGATAACTCATACGTATACAGTAGCAGTAATAATATTACATTACTGTTGAGTCACTGGAGAAACGTACTATCATTCTTGTTTCGGAGTTTTTGGAAAAAGTTGCGCGTCCACTATGAAAAAACTGAAAGGACGGAAAATGAAAACAGCGAAATAGGTGATGTTCTGGCCTCCTTTACTGCTGGAAGAAAATATGATCGGGGACATACATTACCGTGTGAAAAACTACTACAAACATTGAACAATTATTCACACAAGACTTACTTGTTCCGCCATATCTGGGTTGATTACTCTTAAGTTCCTTCGTACTTGCCCAAGCAATTGGAACTTAATTTTCACTTGGTCTTCAATAAAAGCATTAGTAAACCAACGAGCACTTCCTTGCAGGCCATTGTATTCCACACAAAATGGTAGGTGCTTAGCGTCCAATTGTACTTCTGTTCTGTTGACGAGGGCATAAATTTCTCCCTATTGAGGTAAGATATTGAGATAAAAAGCAATCTTTTCCGTGGCCAGATTGCATGGTGAGAAAGCACAAATTTATCTCACGAAGAAAGATCCAGAGCTGTGAAACGCTTTTGACATAGCTAGAACATTGGAGACAGAATCTTGATTTATTTCATAAAATAATAGTATCTCACAAAAAATTTTGGCTGATTCCTTCAAATACCCTAAAATTAAAAGTTACATCTCATCAGGATATATTTTTTTCCTGAAACAAATACAAATTCACATGACTTTCGCTCAGAAACAAGTTTAGAAACTCGATAATCTATCTGAACAGTAAATTGTAATAAATCCATATAACTTGAGGGCAAGGGGAATGAACTGTTAGACTAGTTTTTTATTTTCTTTTCATGGAAATTTTTTTAAATGCAGGGAAATGCGATGTACTTATATTTTGATTGGGTGATACTGCAGATTATGTGTAATCATAAACACAAGAGACGCTTTAATAAGCGCTGACGTCTTTGGCTAAAAAGTCAAAGAAATATTTTTGAGTCGTTTCTAAACTGATATTGATTACCCTTCAGTTTATTATCCAGCACACAATAATTCTTACTCAAATTAGGATTAAAATAGATATCCCTCCCATTTTCATTAACATTCAAATAAAAGAGGCTAAAGTTATTTTACCTGAGTTAATCCTTCGGTGGCTAAGATGTGCGTTGAAACCACCATTTCATCTGCAGAACGATGTCGTCTTACTAAGAAGAATATGGCTGTATTGATTCCCTGGAACGGATGTTGCATAGATAAGCCCGCAAAATCTGTGTGAAAACAAGTAATCACACAATTACTAATCAAAGAAAGAAACAAAAAAGATTCAACTTTGCCTTTAAATAGAAAATTTTCTTCACCATTGCCTCTGTTAGTTGCGTCGTCCTATTGATTCGCCTAGCATGAAATGTATGTTAACTCGTTATTTGCAAAAGAGAAAGTATTTTAAGTTGTACATCTAACATTGTACACTGAGACAGATTTAATTAGAGATCTTTAGAATGCACATGCAAGAGTGCAAATACATGTAATGATACACTACCAAACTATCACATATCCTAACGTGTTTTTTAAATTTATTAAGCCTTCGAACTGAAAAATGCAGCTCTTGGTGTTGACGTGAACTGCGTGGATGGACTCGGGTTTTTCAGGAAAATTAGAAATGTTAGACTTACCGTGAACAGGAGCTCTCCTTTTCCATTTCCCTCTTTCTTTTCGACCTGTTACAAGAGCTGTGCCTTTCCAAGAATTGTTGGTCTCCTCGATGGAAAGATTATCTCCGACTGCCAATATATGATTACCATCCACCTTATTGTGAGGCGTTCGATTACATTCATTAGCTGAACGGGACTGCAGTGGTGTGAAAGAACTTTTCTGACGACTTCGATCGTCTGTCCTGTTGATCCGAACTTGTTGAAAATTACTGGCTTGAACTTTAGGCGTTCTCACGCCTGCAAATAACCTGTCTCCCATTTCTCTTTCATTGAAAGCAGTTTTCTGTTGACCCTCGCGTTCTTGGGGTAGTGGGCTTTGTTGCACTAAATCCAAGGACGCAGGATCTCTCCTCACGTGGCTTTCATGTCCTCTGCCGATGATCCGAGCTTGTACCAAGATATTCTCTTGCCTAGCAGTGGTGCTTTTGATGCTACTGTTTGATTCTCCATTTGGAAAGAGTATTCCATTGCTCCTATCCCGACTTCTTGATATAGGGGAACGTCGCGGCCAGACACATTCAGCCAACGTTCCATCGCTTCGCTCATGATCGTCTCCTTCACTGAACGTATTCTGCATTTGTCCCTCGCTTTTTTGGGGCAGCCAGCTTTTTTGTTCCAAATCCACCGACCCCAAGCCTCTTCTCTGGTGGTTTTCATGGCTTTGACCGTTGATCCGAACTTGTTTCGAAGCATTCTCCTGCCTAATAGTAACTATATTGATTGCTCTTTCCTTATGACCCTCTTCTGCACTAAAACTGCTCCCTAATCGAGCATCGAATACCTTGGGTAGTGAGCTTTGTTGAACTACATTTAGAGAAATTCCTGCTCTACTCTGGTGGCTAAAATGGCTTTCGTGGTCGATCCGAACTTGAAACGAAACATTTTCTCGCTGAGCGGTGGCTAATTCGGTGATTCTGTCACCTCTTCCTTCCCGAACGGAATCTTTCGCCGCTTGAATCTCGACAATTTGGGGTAAGGGGCTTTCTTTGGCAAATTTCGAGGGCAATTTATTGCTTCTGTTATGACCCCCTTCGACCATTTTGTCTTTTACAGAGAGTTCATTCGCTTGATTTTCTCTAGTCGCGTGCATTTTCTTGTTTCCTAGAAGGGAATGTTCCTTCTTCATTTTATCTAAGAATTCATCAGGCTGGTTTGATTCCGATTGCGGTGAGTTTAAACGCCTCAGTGGTGGTCCTACAGTTGGTAATTTAAGTTTTACCTCTCCATCATTTTGCTCTCGACGAGATTCCTGATCGATTTGAAAGTTTCCGTTATCTACTTCTTCTCCTGTCTTAAAAAAGTAGAAGAGAGGCACATTTCAGAATCATAAAAGCAGTCGAATGAGACAATGGTCGATTGAATCGGCGAAAGGCATGTTCTGTTGTGAAACAATGGATCGTACTTACCGAATCGTATTTTTCGTCAGAGGTTGCCATTACCATGAAGCTTATAGTCACAGTTTAAACCTTTGCATTCTCGATCAATTTTAATCATGTTAATTTAGGGTAAAATTACTGGAGCTGTCAAAAGAAAAAAACCGTGAGTCATTGAACATAGTAAGACCAGCATTCTCGATGGTGCTTGGCCTTTGATCCCGTGACTACTTGCGCCTAATTCTTAATTTGCATCCAAATTGTCGACTGGCTCCCTCTTTTGAAACACACTTTAAAATTGGCTCCGTATGGAGTTTTGTGTTGCGTACTTCGTATGGGTTCTCCAGCCACTTTTACCAAATGAAGCTAAAAAAATACAGTGCATGCAACAAATTTTTTTGCCAGCTTAATCCAACTTTCCTGATAATTATTTTAATAACAATACTTAGAGAAATAAACGGACCAATAGCTTACTCCAGGAAACCCTCATTTCGTGCTTTAAACAAAGAAATTAATTGATATTTGCAACCTTTTTTCTGTGCGTCATCGATTTATTCAGAGTAAAGTGAATTACAGAAGAAATCGATAAACATTCGCCGGGACCAAAAATTTTGTCAGATAGTGTGATGTGACCCAATTAGGAAACTGGGACGGTAAGTGTTTATACGTGGTGTAAAGGGTCATACTGTGTACCGCCATAACCTCTTCACAAACATGTCTATTCAATAGCTCTATAGGCTTTGCTTAAGCAAAGTAGCTAGAAGAACCGCCTCAAAGTGCCTAAAGCTAGTAAAGCCCCTCAATGCCTAGAGTGGTCGTTGCATCAAATCTGCCATATATTAAGCTTTGCACGAGTACGTATGATTATCGCAAATACCTTCGCTCCCAAGATATATTTCCTTGGTTTTAAAGCAAATGAAGTGGGATTACACGATTGATAAAAAGCGTCCCAAATATCGATCACCTTAATCGCCGTCAATGGCTAATTACGCGGGCTGTTCTGCGGTTACACCATGCAATACTAGGAATCATATTTCTCATTGCCTCTTCCCGGTCCCGTGTTTTGAGTCCAAAGTACAAAAAGTTAATTTAAAGGTCTTTCCGAAACAGAGACTCGACACAATTCAGAAACTACGAGAGCTTAACAAAATTACGTGCTGCCTCTTAATTCACAAGGACTATAACAGAACTTGCAAGAATTGTGGGACCATTTTCACAACGAAATCACCACCTTCCGCCATCGTCAATATCAGCACCTGTCAGGACAACAGAATTTCTACTTTTCCTTTATCTTTCTCGATCTCTTGCTCAAGATCAGAGACGAATTTTTTGTTGAATACATAGAGCGTAAAGGATGGGAGAACTTTTGATAGATTTATTGATTACATGTGTCTCTGCGACCACAAGCGCCTCGAGGACTTGATCGAGATCTTGACGAATGGGTTTTCATTCCAGCGAAGGCGAAAAAGTCACGCTAGAATGTAAACAGTACGGAAGTATCCAGAATCACGATCTCATCTGCTGAGACTTTCTCGCCTAATTAGGTATCAGTCATGAGATGTTCATGTAAATCTCGGGGGTGCCCTTGAATGAACTTGGGGCTAGGATAATACACTTTTCATGAATGGGTGACAAGCCATAAAAGAAAAAGTGAAGAACCAATCAAGGTAAACGTACCATTACTAATGTAAAAGAACTTAAATAAATCCTCTGTTCGTACAACTGACAGATCTCGCTTTTACTCGGTGAGATTTGACGTTTCCTTCACCTCTTCGAACAGAAATATGCAAAATGGATTTCCAAAGAGCATCAAACTTAAGGGTTTCTTTCTAGCAGTCATTTTGGTGGAGATTTCGAACTCATTGAAAAACCATGATGCGCTCAGAGAAAGTGGTGAGAATTTCGTTACGTCTATCGTTGTTTGATTTTATTCAAGAAAAATTCTTACTTCTGTGGGAAAATTCACAATTCAGCCTTTAAACCTTAGATTAACTATGCTATTTAATTCTTCCTTCGCTCATGTACAGCTGGATAGCACTGAAACTAATGACGCAATACGAAAACGACCGCGCAGTGATCTATCGTCTCTTCATCCGAAGGTGAGCAAAATCAATAACCTGTTATGCCTTTTCATTTTTTTTAATTGTCGTTGAAAAGAATGAAGCACTTTTCTACGTGGGCCAGTTTAAATTGCATAAATTCGGTGAGTAGAAGGTCAGCCATCATCAGTTATTAAAGGGGAAAAGCGCTGCGTAATCACATTTATGCGATTAGCTCATGGTTTGCTAAGATGGAAAAAAATTCTGATTGCAGATGAAGTTTCATTTTGAAGAAGTCCATAGTAAGACTTGGCTTATTCATCTTACAAGGGATGATAACATTTTATTTAATCCTATTTCATCTTATTTCATCTTAGATGATGTGTACAATAACTACGTCAAAAGCGGTTTTAACAGTTTCATGCGTACACAATTAGAATTTCGCAAATTCTACTTTGATGTAAACCTTGATCTCTTTTTTCTTATCTCGCAATTTGCAGCAAACTAGCTCGCCGAATGCGAGATTCCTTCTCAATATATGTAATCAAACGGTAGATTTATTCCATCGAAACGATATTTCTGACACCGGCTTATGAAAGTATTGCGTCACCCTTGTTTAGGTTCGAATAGCTTTACGTCTTTAAAGGAATTTAAAAAATATTCACCGTCCGAAATTTGGCAGAAAAAAAGATCAGTCATGTAATTGACTTAAGTAAAACCTTTGCACATAACTATACTAAGGCGTTACTAATCATTAATTGTAATTTATTTTCACAGTTATTTGGGATCATAGCCGTGGTTGTCTTTAGCTTTCCCGTGGTTTCTACTAAGGTTGGATTATATTTACTGTATATGCATAATTATTACATACCTTATAAATACTTAATTTCGCGTTTTTCGCGATTGTCAAAAGATCGCTAAATTATTGCTCGCGAAATTTAAACACGCAAAATTAAATTAGTATATTTAACTAGAATTCAGATCAGAGAAGAAAATGATGTACATGTCATAACAACACTTATTCGTTGTTATTTCGGAATTTTAAAAAGTTCAGACTTTTTGACAAATAAAATGAAGTCGAGAACGCTTGAATCGCAAAATTTAATGCTCTATTATGATATCGCGAAAATAAAACCCCACAAAATTTTGTCTCGCAAAACGAATGAGTTGTTTTTTTTGTAGCTAATATTAAATTCTTTTAATCAACACTTATTAAACGAGAAAAATCTCTCATGCTTTGGGTATAGTTCCCCCTAAATATATATAAAAACAAATATTCAAATCTCGTCCATAAGTCCAGAATCTAACAACCGCTCTTTTAGATACAAGAATATTCCTCATTCTAAGCTAGACCAAACAATAGATAACAATTCCACCAGTATACATTCAACATCAAGAAAGGTACTAAGAGCAGCACATACTACAATATATTATTAGGAAGGAAATAATAATATTATGTTTACCTGCCAATTTTATTTCAATAAACTATACTTTTGAAACTAATTTTAGTACTCGATAAATGTAGGCAAGTGAAAATTTCAGAAATGTCTATGTAAAGCCTCTTCTATGCAGAGTTTTGGTAACTGCCATCATGGTAAATGCCATCATGTGTGACTGAAAGCTATAAAATTACGGTGAATCTTGAAATAACTACCAGGTTTTCTTTACAATGAGATTCTTCGGAAGGGTATGTTGGGAGTCACTCTTACCTATTCTACTCGATTAACGATTTACGATTTACGATTTCATAAGAAATAAATGAGGATAAGAAGATCTTAAATCAAACATTATTTAGCACTCTCAAACAGGTTAGTAAATATTTCCCATAACAAAAGAGAACACGAAATGTTCCCAACGTATAAATGGTGATTTGAAGAACATCGCGTCTCTTTTCACGTATGTTACAAACAGAAGAAAACACGAGCGAGGCCTCATTGAAGATCGTTTATCTCAATTCTATGGCTGAATTTCGAGCTACTTTTTGAAATGATTTAAAACCTGATGGTGGCCCTCCAATCCTCAACAACCCAAGCTCTGAAAATTTCACAGAGGATCCGCCATTTTGAATTTGAGTGTGGATTAGGTCCTTCATTCGTATAAGGAACATTTAATTATCCAAACAAAATATCGCCTGGTGATTGGGTAAATATACAAAGGATAGAAAGTATCACAGATTTAGCGAACTCATTTTTTTCTTGAGGTTACTGGAAAGACCTTCAACCTAGAAAAATTTTTGTTTGCGGCATGTGGTCGAGGAAATGCAGGCGTGAAGCGAGCGTGAAGGGCGAGTCACTCCCGTGAGTCCGTGACGCCTGTTTTGCAATGCATCTTTGTCATCCTGGATTTCTTAATATATTCTGCGACAATTAGATTGGGCTTACATGACGTAAAAGATGAGCCGACTGTTGCTCAAAATGGCGAAGCTAAGACGGGCCAACTTCTTTGCGGGTTTTGATACTTTCACCGCCGTTACGACACAAAATGCAAATATTTTGTGTCGTAATCTTTCTGACAGTTAGAATGGACAGGACTGCCACTCATTTATTGTTACTCTTTTTTATACGTTTTCTTTTTCCTAGCCGACGCCAAGCCAGACAAATCCTTGCAAACCAACCGAATACTGCAGACCTTCCAACCCCCATCACATGCAAATCTGGAGGTTTTAAAAAAAAAAGCCTAGAGAAACCTGGAGATTAGGACCTCAAACCTGGAGACTTCAAAAATATGCGTCAAATAAAAAAAACGACGACAGATTATTTGTTTCAGAGTATTCCTTACCTTCTCAGTGTTCTCTGTTGTAGTCTTTCGCTGCCTTTTTTGCAGAGCTGAGAAGATTCTCATCAGGGTTGAACTTAAAACACGGTGAGGTTTCCTCTGGGTACTGCAACTTCATTGCCAGTAAATTCGATAGAGTTCCCTCCAGTTTAAGGGAGGACCGACTATCTGTTTTGTTCTTGCGAACCATGCTGAACAGCCTCTCCTCCCCTGCATTACTGTGTGGCAAAAGTACAACCAGCTCTGCCACCTTCTGAAGATGGCAAAATCTTTTTGCTGAGGATTCAGGAATTACCATTTGTGACATGTACCACCAGAGAATGTCTACTCTGTAATGGAAAATTTCCTGATCATTAACTAATCCATCAACAACTTTAGCTTCCTTCCAAGCAATCACACCAATGTCTTCATCTGTTAGAGACTGATAATCACGAAATTCATCATACATCTCATCAATGTTAACAGTGTTCAAGGCTGATTTGAACCTGGATAGAAAGTATTCTACACTCTCCCATTTTGCCTGACTACGTTTCTGAACGTTGATCCATCTTGCATGCTTCAGCAGCTCATCAGTAATAGGAAACTTGCTCAAAACATATTGGAAGGCTGCCTTGAAATATTCATGTGCTGCTGTTAAGAAACGAGTGTAGGCTGTTTGAGATATTTCCCCTTGATTAAGTAGCCTCTGTAGTGTAAACTTTGTCGTCCCTCCTAAGTGAATTTCTGCAAGGGGTATATAAATTGTTGGATCTTGCAAATTAATTTCATTAAGTGGTTTCTTCATGACCTCCACCTTGATAACACGATTTCCAAGAGTATTTGCAAGTTTTATGACAGAGTCATAAACTATGTGAATGGATGGCTCGTCTGACTGCAAAAGTTTGTTAAAATTTGTAAACAGTGGGATGGAAGCATTGTGAAAAAACAGGGAAACTTCTGTGAGTGGATTTTCAAAGGCTTTCTGTAACCTCTTGAATCTCGCATCACCAGCATCTTCACTCAAAAAGTATGACTTCAATCCAGTATACTTTTCAAGTGTGCGTTGAACGCAGCGTTCTAAAGAAAGCCACCTGGTAGAAGAATGCTTCAGTATCTTACCATACTCCTGGTTACAAAACTGCATGTACTCAAGTAGGATCCCTTTCCGTTTTGTGCTTTTATCAAACCAGTAATACTGATCAATAAGAAGCTCTTCTGCACTGATTCCTATAATCTTTGCAAATTCGTCATGAGCTCTACTTGCTGCAATGTGCGCCAAATGGCAAGGACATCCCAATACATAGGTCTCTGGATTTTTTGCTTTGAAGTGGGATGCCAAAGAATTGTGAGCACCCACCATTGAATTAGTGTTATCTACTGAAAGGCTGACAACCTGATTCCATGGTATTTCATCAGTCTCTAACTTTTCCTGGACAACACCAAAAAGAGTTTCTGCTTTTGACGCATCCCTGCCACTTGTCACACACATATGATAAAAATGAGATGTAACAGTTTTGGCTCTTTCTACATCGAAAATTCTTACGGTTGCTGGATTCATCTTTTCAACATCTGTATCACTCGACCCATCAATTCCAATACTGAATGGATGTTTCTGACAGTGCTGTACAACATATCTGTGACAATGTGGTCCCAGAGCCTTATTGATGATAGCCATAGTCTTTGTTCTTGCACATCCATACTGCTTAGCAATTTCACTGTCTGGAAATACTGCCCTAAACAATGGCCCAAGGTGATCTGAAGTTGCAAGTGGGAGGTTATGCTGGATCAGAAAATTTGTTGTTAGGACTTCTGCTCTGGTAACTGCACTTTGTATAACACTACCGCCTGAACCAAACATGCCCGCTACTGATGGCTGATTTTTCGCTGCTTTCGTCGATAACTTGTGAGATTCTGTATTACAATGATCTTTCACGTCTTTTAGACCCTGGTGGTCACAGCGTATTGTCTTGAGACAAGGCACACAATAAAAAGAATGCTTGTCGTTTCTTACTGCTTTCACGGGATATAAATTGCTCCACTCAACCTTAAATGTCGTACGATACTTAGCTGCTCCAAGGGTAGCTGGTTTCCTTTTCTTCGCGGTAGATGGCTGAGGTTCCGAAGTATCAGAGTCATTTTGAGAACTTGTTTCACTCTCGTGTGCTGGACGACGAGTAGCCATTTTGAAATTTGTGTTCGATGGTTAAGCTTTCCCAGAAACCTTAGCGCACCGATGTTTCATTAGAATGAGGCTGGCATTGGGCTCATTCTTCGGCCGTGTCTTGGTGCGCCCGCGATCCTCTGGTAGCGGTGAGTAACCTGGGCGCAACAAGACACGACTGGAGACTGAGCCTAGCATTGGCGCCATTTCCCTCGCAAATTAGTTTTGATGCCTGATTCGGCTGTTATGAGCACAGATTTTTTTGCTATTCCTTCATACCTTCCGGAATTGTTTGGCAATTTTAAAACTTTCTGATTCACCGTGAGATTAAGGGGCAAAACCGTGAGACCGTGAGTTGACATCCCAAACCGTGAGTCTCACGGTCAAACCGTGAGGGTTGGAAGGTCTGATACTGGGTTGAAAAAGAAGATGGCTCACAAGAGTGTATAGCATGCGGAACTTGCCCAGAAGGACAAGGTCTCTCAACGGAATGTGGGAGTTCTGAACTGCTGCCTTCTAATACCATGGTGAAGTGTTTGGCATGCACCAAAGGAGTTTCATTTTCCAGATATGAAGATTCGTCCATTTGCCTTCCTTGTGCATCATGCTCTAAAGGTCAGGTGGTAGAACAAAGCTGCTCTCCCAAGTGGGATGTCAAGTGCGCAAATAAATGTTCCAGCAAGGACAGGTACAATTATTATTACAATTATTCAATGGTTGTCCCAGATTTGATCATCGTAAGCGTTTTAATTGTTGGGTGAATATACTCGGAGTCTTTGGTGATTATTTTGTACGTGCAGTGTGTAGTTCTAATACTGGAACAGGCACAAACTGTGCGAATCGTTAAAGATAACTTACCACCAATACTGATATCTCTAAGCCATCGTAATATTTACAGAAAATTTTATGTTAGTTCAGTGGCGTGCCAGCGATTATATAAAAGTTATCACTATTTCACTGGTTAGGTATTATGATATGGACAAGGGGGACTGTTTTAAGTGCTCAAGATGCTGTGGCGATGATAGAGATGTGGTGGTAAAAGAGTGCAAAGAGAAGTTGGGAGATGGCTCAAACATGGTTTGTTCATTCGACAGCAGTGTGAACCGCTGTGGCAAAACAACGCGTCAACCAACAACTATCATTAGCCATGTCGACCCCAAACACGATGGTCCTTATACCACTCAAAAAAGTAATCATTCCACTAAAGCGAACGATCGGACAACAACTGTTATTCTTGTGGTGATAATAGTTGTTTTCGCTTTTTGTGTTTGTTCATGCGTTTTAAAGAAGAGACTGGCACAGATGTTGAGTTGGTGTTATCGTACTGTTGAAGAGGAAGACCATCATGATTTATCAGTCATGGAGGACGGATCATCGACTGACGGAAAGGGTGGTAAGACTGTGTAGCTTTCCTTTGAGTTCGTTCTAATGGTGTCCATTATTCAAATATTGACCTGGATGAAACTCATGAAAAATAATGTTAGAAAGTCTGGCCACTAAGATGTACCCAATTGAACCAACAAAGCTCTCAGTATCTCCATAGAATTCTCTTCTCAAAAGTGTTTTTTTAGGGTGTAGTTTCATTTAAGACGTCTTCGGTTGATCGCCTAACAATATTCAAATGTAAGCATACATAGGAAAAGTAAGCATTCGGGAACAACATTTCTCTTTATCTCTTTTGTTAACTACAACAGTCCTCGAGATGCAGGTTGATTAAATTCCACTCACTTTTGTAGGTGATTAACCCTCTCTTGTCAAACTCATTAATCAAACCGACTCTGTGACATGCCCCAGACTTTGCGTTGGCAGATACTGATTCTGTTACATTCATTCATGTCTGAAATGCTTCCTCCAAGCCTGTCACATTCATAGTTTTGTATATTATGATCTTTCCAGTAGAAAATGCTAAAGAAAACTTAGAAGATAGTGATGAGTCATATGAGTTAGGAGATGTTCATTCAGTTGCAGAGGAACCCCTGTTGAAAGAGGTATGCAAAAGAATATTTTTCTACCTTAAAGTTCATCATAGGTTAAGTTTACACGCGGTATATTAAGCCCTTCCCGTCAAATGCATAGCTATTGGACCTCTACGACCAGTTCAATCGTCAAGCATATTTAGAACTTAAGCATTGCCTTGAGTCTGAGGCATTGTCAGAAATCGAGATGCAAATGAGGTACAACTAAATATGAGAAGATATTAAAATTGAGAAAAGATGTGCTTTAACATATGCATGCTCAATGAAAAATTCAATTTTCCAGAGTACGTTGTAACTTATGAAGGAGCCGTAAAATTGCCCTTCATTTATGCTCAGGTACACACTTTAATGATCCTCTTAACTTAAAGAGTTTGAAAATAGTCATAAATTAATTTTAGTTCCTCTTTGTTAAAGGGTATTCCCGAAATCTTGGACGACACTGTAACCACCAAAGAGAAAGGTGTGATAGAACTTCAGTTGGAGAGAGACTTTGAACTTACTGTCAGGGGAATTTATTGTTAATCGGGACTTTTAAATTCTTGATTTTCATCAACCAAAAGCCATTGGTGCCATTAGGGACAAGATAGCCCGATATGAATTTATCTGTTTGAGTAAATACTATTTAATCGGAGGTTTCTTATCTTCATGATTTGTAACACCTAATAGTTTCAAATAGTTTGCAGCGATTAAGAGTTGGAACAAAATGAACCCAGATGAAGGGACAAATTTCTTGCAAACGTTCTACTCTTTGATATAGCTGCTTCACCAATAGAGACCCTTAATGGAAAAGATAAAAGCTAAAAATGATTTGAGACAGAGGAGTGGAAAACTCTCTGGGTGGTTGGAAGAAGACATAAGATGTTATTTTGTTTGGGGGGGGGGGGAGAACCAAGAAATGAAATGTAATACGAGTAAACCCCTATCATGGAGGTTGTAATGTTGTCTATGTTTGACTGTCTTTCCTTATTGCAGGTTCCAAGCTACTTAGCAGCTTGTTGGAGAGTGAGTCTTACCAGTACTTAAAGAAAATCTGTGATCGTTTGGACACAACCATGGCAGGCGCTGGTGACTATCGCGATGTCTGTTCGTATTATGGTATTGATCGTTATGAGATTGCCTCAATTTATGAGAAGCAGAGGGATGGGCCATCCAGAGCTCTAATCGATTACTTGGCAGCCACACGTGAACAGCTAACAGTGGCTGAGTTTGTAACTGTGGTGAGAAAAGTAGCAAAGAGAGGTGATGTCGCAAAGCTGTTAGAGGAGTATGAAGAGGAGTTGTGAGAAAGAATGGCAAGGTCTTTTCATGACTGATAGTGTCATTTTCATTTCTTGTTTTACTAAATCAGTATTTGAGATCGTTGTAATTCTAAAGAGTTGCATTTTCTGATATAAATTTGATGTAGCCTCGGGTACTGAAAAGGACCCAAATTTAAAGGAGACGTCTTGATTGGCATGCATTAAATGTTATCTTCAATTTATTAATGATATAAATGTTAGAGCTATGTGTATACTTGCAAACGTAAAGTTTATATTACTGATTTTCTTGTTGTTTTCACTTTGAATTGTTAACGAGGCAAAAGAGGGCAAACACATTTTCTACGCTGCTTTGAGGCTAGTTACCTGTTACCTACCGCGAGGACACTGAATCCACCAGATAGTCCTTACCAGAAATGAAATCCTTTCCAAGTAGTTTTTAGATTCTAGTAGTCTCCAATTCAGCGTCGACAAATCAAAACCATAACAACCACACTGGCTAAACAAAACAACGGTTATCAGAGACCAATGAGAACTTAAAGTAAACGCAGGTAAACCACTTGAAGCGCGAGATAACGTGGGTGTCCGACTTGCGATTGGCTTCATCTTTGCATTTAATTGTTTGGTACGTTGGCGCACAGAGCGAAGTAAAGGAAAAAAATAATGCAATCCCATATTTTTTTGACAATTATTAAACTGAACAAAATTTTTTACTTTGTTCTGTTTAGATCCAAGCACTATCAAGGCACTCATTTTAAGATCTATTTTTTTTTCCTCATTTTTTAATTATGTTTTTTAAATCACTAGCTGGTTTTTGATTTTTGTATAACGGAAACGCTACTTTTTCCGTTTTGTGTCAATGATAGAGTTATGTTACGTATTTAACAGTTAAAGATGTATTTGTGGTCACCCTTGCAAATGTTTCCGTGATTAACTTGATTTTAAGGGAGCGGAGAGGTCAAACCGCATCAAAAGTTTCATGCAGTAACAAATATTTTCCTTTAACCTCCAAGCTGAATCGTATTAGTTATTCAGCTTTCTAACTGCTAAGAATTTTCTCCATAGCTATCACCATTTTTACTGGGAAATGTGTTGAAATTATGATGATAAGTTCCGACGTGTGTAAAGACGAAGTATGTCCTCCGCTAAGATGTAAATTAATAAAACATGTTGTAATTAGCTTTTTTAGTGCAAAAAAGATAGTTATCTTAGATTAATTTACCAGTTAAATTAGTGGTATAATTTTCTGTATTTGCACGTGTGAATTTGCGAATAAATTTGTAGAATGTGAAAAAAGTAGCAAAAAATCAACTGTTTTTTAGCGATAAAATGGCTAGTCTCAATTAACTATGCCATGAATCAACAATAATCCACATTTCGGTTAAGAATATATGAAAGTCATATATTTGATCCATTCACTCAAATTTCAGGGTTCTAAGGGACCGAAAAGCAGAATAGGACAATGGCCATTATATCCCCATTTTCATGATCCATCGTCTATTTCATGTTCGATGAAATTACCCTCTGTACCCTCTGTACTCTGTTCGATGAAATTACCCTCTGTACTCGCACACCTGAACCAGTAAGTTTACTCCTACGGATTTTCTTTTGTGGCTTGGATAGACTCCATTGTTAGTTAAAGTATTTCCTTTCCCAGTCGCGGTTGCTTCGATGGTCTTCCAGATATTAACTTTGCCTGAGAGATCGCAGGAGTCTCCCTCTTCTCTGTTCGATGATTTCCCTCCTTTCTTTAGTCTTGGACGGGGGATTTCCTTTCACTTTCAGCTTGCAGTGTATCGTTCTGTTCGTCGCCCGCAAAGGAAATTCCCCTATCCAATTCCATTTCAACTTTATATGTTGGCCTGGGTCAGGATGTATGCTTAACCTCTCTGCTTGGGGTTTCATGTCTGTTTACGTCCACTGTTTCTAGCCTTTGCGTTTGAAATCGTTATCGCTGTCATATACTATGTCCTGTGTCTGCAAGAGTCATATTTTCGTATCTGAAACATAATTGCAGAAGTTGCTTAGCAAGTGTATTTTCTTTTTTTCAAAGTCGTTCGTTTCTATCCGCCGGTGAGTTAAGATACAACCCAGACGTTGTCTAAACGAAACTAATTTTGATCGATCTTCCCTAATCCTCTTATTATATTATGAGGATTAATGTCTCCTAAATAGGGAGTTCAAGGGACTAATGATGGTATTATGAATAAAAACTATGAGGGTACTTTTTATCCTTTGTTTTCTTTGCAACCAAATCTCTGATTCCACGTTGCGAAGTGTTTGAGCATCCTGCGTGCGAATTTACGGTTGATATCCATGAAGCCTGGAAATTTTCAAATTTTGATTTTTGTGGATTTTCCGGTTGTCCATAATCCCTACTAAAAGTCCCCATAGGAAAAGAAAAATTCCGCTAAAAGTAAATTACCTTCAATTAAACCAGAGTGGATCAAGTGTCTTTCGTATTATTGAGGTCGGATTCGCTTGAAATGGTTATTCATGACTAATCTATCATGTAGCTTTCCTCTCTGTAACTCATCAGGTTAGAATATTTTACAATATCAAGGTTTTTTCCTTGTTCACGTTGTACTCATCAGTATTAATTTCCAGAAATTTGGGCGATCTCGAACTGTAATAAGTTGTTTGCTTAAACATACACGTGCTAATTCCCGTCTCGACATGGAGGCGACATGGGCTGTCGCAACTTCCTGCTTCATTTCTTCACATGCCCAGGGCCAAGCTTAGGCAAATTTTTCAACTCTTGATTACAGAGGAATTTGAACGTATCCAAAAAAGCCCTTTATTCCAAATTTGAAGAAAACCTATGAGAAAACATGACTTCAAACGCTGCAATACGTGAGTTATCCACTCATACGAAAATGCTCTGGGACACGTGTTCATACATACTTGTTACCGCGGGAAATGCTACGGAAAACATGATGTTCATTGGCGTGTTTAATCAAAGTTAAATATCGCGTTTTTCTGGTGTTAGCCGACCCGTGGTAACACATAGAATATACTGCGTTACAACACACTAGAAAATCGGTGGAAACATTTAGGAAAACGGAATGTTAGCCCGGGTAACGATTGCACTGAAAAACTAGTGTCGAATATCACCGCATTAACCGCTTCAGGAAAACACTAAACAGACACCGTGATAACCCACGCTGGATAACCGATGTAGAACTGTCAACAAAACACAGTGTACAGATGAGTTTTCCAGGCCCTGGAAGCACTGTCGTTAACGCTATGTTTTCCCATAGTGAATATGCCACGCGTTCTCCGCAAAAATGAAAACGAAATTTGAACGAGACATTTTCTCGGTATTCACTGTTTGGTTAAATTGTGGGAACGAGGGATTCTTTTGCCGCGTAACGTTCAAGTTAAATAGATCGACTTCACATGTAGCATAGCCTCGTGGAAATGGGAGTAATATCCAAAATTCTCTTGCTTATGGTACGCGTTTCGATCAGAACTTGGAAATTAAGGGAGGGTGTAAAGCAAGGTCTGGTAGAAAGAGTAGAACTGGGTCAAAAGAGAGTTGGTGAGGGTGATTGCGTTCGCATTCAATGGAGTCTTACAAATCCGTGCTAAATTCTGTGATGCTCCTTTCGATTGACCGATACCACCTCCCAACCCTTTTTGTTTCACCTGTGTCTTGTTACCGTTGAGATGTCTTTGGGATGACGTCAATTGCCTTTTTTTGGCAGTATAAGATTTCCCACATGGTCTAATCCAGTACCAACCGGTAGGCATTTTGCTTGTCAGCATATTTTTAAACATCTCGCTCCTGAGCGGAACGAATGAGCTTCTACCGATTCTAATCATTACAAGATATTATTCATGTATCAAAAGTCTCAATTTGTTCAGCAAGATTCGACAAAAAATTAAATGAAGACTGCACCGTAAGTACAGTGTTACTGTTCTTTCAAAAATCTCTTGATCGTTAAACGGTTTGAAACCGGCCTACTGTGACCTTTCTCGTTATACAATATATTTTCATATCTCAAGCTTTGTAACTGTGCAAATTGCTTTACTTGATGAGAGGTTGCTACTTCGGACATAATATCCTCGGAAACCTTGCCCGACCAAGTCGAGTGGACTGGAGACGTGCTCCTGAACCATGTGCTCCGTTGGAATGTTAACGAAGACCGTAATTATTGCAGTTGTGGTAAGTTCACATTCTGTTTATTCCAGGCCGGCAAAATTCAAGCGATGAATTAAATGTATATTGTTTCATTCAGATAGTTTGTGTTGCAACCAGTAGAGAACGACAGAAAATCATTATTTCTTGATTTTGCTACCTATCACATGCGAGGTGAATTTCATGACATACACCGGTAGTATTGAGCATATCAACTTCTCTTTTCCTTTATTTTTCCCTTTGAAATGCTAACTGTATACTGACTGTATACCAGCTGATTACCATAGGATAAGGAAAAAACGCGGATCTGGCGGTAACAGAGGAGGTAGGCACTGTTCCAATAAAAGAAAATAAAGGTTCCTTCTTTTTCAGCTCCAAGCAAAAGGAAGAGATTGCTTGGGCTGCAAAGGTGATGAGATCACTTGGCGTAGCGATAAACCAGGAAAGAAAAGCACGTGTATACCGTGTATCGATTGCCCGGACGGAACTGAGCCGTCGATTCCTTGCGGAGGGACCGCCAAATATGGAACACACTTACATTGTGAGGCATGCAGGCAAGGAACCTATTCGGACAATTATGGAAAAGGGCCCTGTAAGCCATGCTCTCTATGCTCCGTTGGACGTACAGTGACAAGGAACTGTTCTGCGACGAAGAACGCTCAGTGTGGCTCTTGTAAATACGGCTATTACCAAAAAGTTGTCATCATGAACCTGCTTTTCTATTGCCTTCCGTGTTCTGTCTGCTGTGGGGACGGTAAAGATAAGGTAGAGAAGCAGTGCACAGATCAAGGGCTTCCAAGTCAACAACATTGCAAATTCAGAACCGCGCCCAGCTGTCAACTGTTGCGGACAACTTCAAAGATCACATCGAGCACTCCATTTCTAGGAGCAAATCATACGGCAAAGAAAGGAACAAGCCCAAAGGGACAATCAGAGGAAGCTTCTTCAGTTCCTTCATCAAGAACACCGAAGCCGTATGCAAGAACCACTGCCATAACCGCAAAACGACATGAAAAGTTAGCTGCTTCCCAGTATGAAACAAGTTCAGCCTTAGAAGGATTCCACGGCAATAAATCAAAGGGATCTTTTTCCGATAGAAGTGTCGATATTAATAATGGCAATGGTATTGTCGTTTCTCCTATGTATGGGATTCCCGTTATTTTCATTGCAATAATTGTAATTGTTCTTAAGCGGAACAAGCTTGCAAGCTTCTTTGAAAGGACGAGGTGTGGTCCTATCCTGAGGTGTAGAGACGCTGAACTCGGTAAACAAATAGAGAGTACTCCGTTGAATGTTGTGCCATTAGGAGGTACGTGAATTTGCACTATTTTGAACACGGTCAAATGATGGCAAATTACTCAGTCGTTGAGACACTTTCTTAAAGGACTAAGCAGTCAGGACAAAAACGCCGGGGAAGAAGGTGATTAAAAAAAATTTATATATATTTTTAACAAAAATTTCGTGAATGGCTAGATTTGTGAACTAGTCTTTCGGCGCTACGCCTCAACTTACGAATAACGTACGTAAACAGTGCTGAGTTCCAAATGGAAACTTAAATAATTTTTTGTCGAGGCTTCCGTTATCAGCTTTGACTCGTCCTTGGTGCAGTCGCTGTCGTAGTTTGCTTAAAGTCCCATTTTTGTGCCGCCAGCCAGAATTATTGGCGGAAAGTGCCATTTTTGTACCGCCAGCCAGAATTATTGGCGGAAATTAGACCTTTAATATCAATCTATAGGTACAGCTGTTTCATTTTTAAGACACAGATAATGACAAAGATTTCTAAAAGCGAGGAGTGGTGAACATGTGCCTTGTGTAAGACTTGACAAAACGGGTTTCATTTCAATTATCAATTAAATGCTAACAGTGTAATATTTTCGTGATAGGTTTGGTTCTCAAACTTAGTTATTGGAAGAAAAAGTTACGTCAAAAAAGTAAATAAACATGTACGAATAAACCCAAAGGGAACAAAATAGAGGACAGTGTAAAGTAAGATTGGAACTCTTAAATTTGGTCTAACGTTTCCTAGATACTCAAACCGTGATGTTTCTCCATGACCAGTTTCTCTTCCGTTTGCCCACTTAATGTTTTGAACGTAGCGTTCTTTTTCAGTCTAACAACATGAATATTAGTAATTTTTCTTTTCCTTTGTAGTTCTGGTTTCCTTAAAAGATTTGAAGTCCCTTTCACTTGACACATATACCAAAGTGTGGAAACGACTGGACAAACAGCCGGAGGGAAAGACCAGAGGTGACTTCAGAGATGTGGCTGTGCGGTTTTTGTATTTAGAAGAAGACATTTGGGAACTGGAGAAAGAATTTAAATCATGTGGCTCTGGAAGTCCTTCAAGACAGCTTTTAGAAGGTCTAGAAACTAGACGACCTGACCTTACTGTGTTGGAGTTTATCAAAGTTCTTCGGGAACCAAATATACTGAGGAACGATGTCGTTGAACTTTTGAAAGATTACATTCATAGATAAGTGAATTTTTAGACAGATAAGGTTCATATTGAAGAAAGGCGAAGAGTCGCGGCTAATGGCAACAGTTCGATTCCGGTTTAGTTTATTACTTCTATTGAATTTGTAATATGAGCGAGATCAATTAGGAACGGGTCACGACCAAATACATTTCTCACTTTTACAATTCTAAGGCGGCCAAAGCTCATGACACGAAACTAGATTGAGCGTCACTCTTACCGTTGCGAGATGAGTTGTGTTGCATGTAGCTTTGCAGGTTTTCTATCGGGACAATTTACACAGGGGCGGTTCTTTGTTGATAAAATGTTTTGCAATGTGTTTTTTTTTTAATAAAACTGACTTCCTTTTTCGCCCTATTAAGGTGTCTGTTGTCTTTGCAGTGGCTTGTGCGAGTAACAGCCACGTATGGCCTTGTTGCTCGTGTCCACTGACTTATTTGCGTGACCCTTGAATTACATCAGGGTTCGAGCGGATAACGCTATTTAGTGGCTATGCAGCGGATAAATGTCAGCAACACGTACTGCGTTACTCACAGGATAGACAGTTATTTGTAGCGTTATCTACCCATCGAAAACCGGAGCCTTATGGTTAAACCTGATAAAACACTGTTTTCCGGGCGTCCCCAGCTCATCAGCGACGAAACTGATGCATTTGAAAATAAACACAGGCTCCCATTCCCTGTCCGAAACAGATTGAGAGAAAATCATCTTTTGTTCCTTTAAGACAAGGCTTAAAGCGAACTAATTTACTGAAATCCTTAAGTTAATTATGGCGATAGGTTATTAAAATGTCAGACGGTATAACGTGTAGGGGTTAATTAGTAGCTTCCTGTAAATTGTAAAACTAACCACATACCTACATCGTTTGCATACTTCACATTGCTTCCTGAGGCGCTGCACGAAATTCATATGGTTAAACCGGTTCAAACAACGTACCTAAATATATCACCTGGAGTGTTGAGGTCACATAGCTGTTATATGGGGGGAATCCCCAAATAATGCTCGGAAAACGCTGAACGTCTGGCGTGGTTCTAACAGGCGTCATTTTTATGTCGCGTAGTTTTACCATAGAGTGGTAGTCGTTCGAACGGTAAAGGATTTTTACCTTTTTTTTCTCGATGGAAGTCAGCTTGAGTTTGAGAAAGGAGAAAGTAAATCACGTTTCAGGCTTCTTCAACGCGATGTCGAGGAGATCGTGGTTTGGTTACAACGATGCGAAGACAAACCGGTTCTTGATTGTTTTGATCTTCGGAACGCTGGTAAGGGAAACCTTTTAACTTAGCATGATCAATGCACGTTCTGACTTTACAGTGTTCGAATTGTTATTTTTCTTTAATTTGGTTACGTTAACGAAATGATATTCGTTTTTTCGAAAAGTGGTAAATGGTTAAGTTAAATGTGCTTACGTGTTAGTTTTAGAAGAGTGATGACTCACGCTATTCTCAATTTTGATATACGACCTCAAAGATTCATAATTCGCGACATTCTTGTAAACAGCAACGCAAAGTGCACAGGTAAAAGGTGTAATTGGCTTGATTATCTATCTTCAGGAAGTCCATTCACTTTCGTTTATCGTAAAAACTGACTAGACAGCATCACGCTACGCAATGAAATATACTGTAAATCATTTATGACCCAAAATTATAAAATATTTATATTTCCCAATCATACAGTCAACATATGTATCAGCGATCATTCTTTGTAAGAGTAGTAAATCTTAAAACAACTGTTGATGTTAACGCATTAGCTCATAGCAATGTTGGTGTCATATGCATATCCTGTCACAAGGTAGTCACGAGACTTAAGCTTAACTGCGACTTCACAAACCTATCCTTTTATGGTTGAAACTGATAGCATAAGGTTTGTATCGTAACATGTAACAAAATTGGACACGAGCGCACGACTGTTTTAGTTAAGTGTCGGCGATTGTTCAATCTTCTAAACTTGGGTTGCCAATGAAGCTAACAAAAAATGCAAAATTAAAGCATGTCGGCCTTGCACAGCTCCTTAGTGAAAGATACTGTATTTTCAAGTCATATATGGGTGAATACAGGGGGTAAGTTTCTATAGAAACTGTGGTGCTGCGTCGGTGGGAGAGCATGACGGGGTAATTTAGTATTATCAACTGAGTTGATAACGTAAATTGGCCACCGTAAAGAGTTTAAAAGCTGACGTTTCGAGCGTTAGCTCTTCGTCAATCGCTCTGACGAAGGGCTAACGTTCAAAACGTCAGCCTTTTAAAAACTGTTTTCGGGGGCCAATTAACTCAGTTGATTGTACTAAATTACCCCATATATGGGTGAGTAATTCTGGATGAGAAGTGTGCCAAACATGATTCTCAACGACCAGCTCTTGACGCTACGAACATGAATGAAATCAGCATGCTCACCTTTTGTTTCATCATCGAGGTCTCCACGATATGACGTGTACACATTGTTTTGCAACATGATAGTCATCTCAGGATGGTTTTGCTGATCCGATGTGAACCCCGTTTTAGCTCCCACAAGTGAATTTTACATCACGCAATTGTTCCCAGGAAAGAATGGAGAGGTGATTTATCTTAGTGAACGAGTCGCGTTCGAAGTATATTTTGAAGGGACAAAGGAGGGATGAAAAAACTCACCCAAAGAGTAAGCTGCAAAACAAACGAATGAGTGCAATGTGGCCTGAACTCACTTATGCAGCCAGGTTTGCTTCATAGAATTCTATGACAGTCGGTTAATTATTTCTTGAATGTATTCAGTTACATTCAGCTGAATTACAGCAGTTTCACAACATCGATAGATGAATACGATTTAAGCTCTTCAGTGATGGCTACGATTTAGGTCATCCAGTTTCCTACTTAAAAAACGATAACTGCAATTGATTTATCCATATGTATATATTTTTTCTCATTATCTCGTATAGATATGCCGTGTCGGAGGAGACTTTCCGTGCAAATCAGAACAGATACACTGGAATGGCACAACTCAGAAAAAATACAAATGCATAGATTGTCCTGACTGTCCCGTGGGATCAGAGATTTCTGTGCCATGTGGTACATCAGTAAAATACGGGACACCCATTCATTGCGTTTCGTGCCAACTGGGTAAAACATACTCAGAAGAATATGACAAAGCGCAGTGCAAGGCATGCACAATATGCTCTACAGGGAAAGCACTGGTCAAGAACTGCACCCTGGTCTCGAACACTCAGTGCAGCACAGAGTGCCAGAAAGGCTTTTATTCTTTTCCGTTTAGTTTTGCCTGTTGGCCTTGCTCGAATTGTTGCCATGATGGTAAAGATGAGCTTCCAAAAGAGTGCAGCGGAAATTATCTGAAGAAGTGCAAAATGCGTTCATCGCCCTGTAGTTATGTGCACAGCACAAATACCCCGGGCACAACTGCCAAGAGGATTCCCTGGGGTCCCACACAGATGTCATTGCAAAGAGATGCACCGACACCCTTTCCAACCAAGGAAGGAGAAAAGGTTACATCGCCAGCATTTTCCACTTACTCAGTGGAGTTTCCTAGATCTAGGATCGACCAATCCATAACCACCACCAAATCGACAAAGTCTCCGAAAGAGGGGAGTGGAAATGAAGTGCTCCTTATTCTTTCCGAAGTAGGTGCAGCGCTTGGAATTACATTCCTGTTTGCTCTAACAATGATGATGGCTCGTCATAGATGGTTCTGCGGGCCTTGTTTCCTCAGGTGGGCAAAATCAGAGAATTCAGTCCAGTTTCCACCGACACAAATCGAGGTGAAGCCAACTTCATCACAAGAGGAACTCAGGCCCGGTGAGCTCCTATATCGACCAAAACTGACTGTTTGAATAAACTACTTAGATTTATATTTTTTTGTCACGAATCTATTATTGTTTCTATCATTTTTTGTTCTTGAGATTGCTTTGGCCCGTTCCAAACACTACCCCTCGTTACATGCATTAGCCGGTGAACGCAGTCTTGAATTACAATTGTGTCAAGCTTTCATCAGTTTGATGAATATTGTATCTCTTTGTAGATGATGTAACCTTGGAGGAACTGGAAAAAAACAACTTGGATTTGTTTGATTGGGTTTGTACCCGGCTTGATAACGAAAGATCAGGTTTTCGGCGAGACTACGAGCGTTTGGCTGCTAAATACAAACTAATTTCCCTGGAAGTACGAAAATCCTTGAAAAATGAGTTTAAAAGTGAAGGTGGAAGCCCTTCCAAGGTGCTGATGAACCAGCTGCAAGCTATGTACCCCAACCATCCTCTTCGTTGTCTCGTAAGAATGCTGGAAGAGATCGGAAGAAATGATGTAGCACAAAAACTAGCACCCTACAGTAAAAAAAATGTCGGAAACCAGTATTAGCGAATTGACGACGTTTGGCTAAGGAAAGAGTATTTCAAGAGGCTCAGCAAAAAAAATGAACAAAGCTTTCCATAGGCTCTCGGAAGAGAGAATTAATTACAATGATGCTAGACCTACTGGGTGACAGACAACTTTTACAAGTAGGTGGGATTCATAGCTGAAAAGCAACTATTTGTTGAGAGATGTATATGCTGGGTAAGAGCTCGCAGTGTTGAAGAAGACTGACTGCGTGAACGATTTGATTCGTATAAATCTCTCTTCTTTCACCAGGGCCGGGTTTCCTTCTAAATGAGCTAAATTTTCTGTTTCACCTGTGTTCTGGATAATGTATCTGAGTTGTAGGAAAAGGTTACACTTTGATCACATGCTGGATTCAAAGATCTCACCCACAGGATTGCATAACCAACTAGAGTAAAGTAAACAACGCCGGAGTAACGTTCCTTTGTCACGTAAATCAAACGATTACCCCTGCTGTCGAAAAAGGAGGTCTCGAGAACTAATTGAACTAATCTTGAAAATTGGGGAAATAATAATGAAGTAGAATGAAATGAAATCCACCCAATATGGTTAACCATAGATGATAAAAACTGAATTTATATAATTATGAAAATCAGAGTTAACCCGATGACCGGAGATGACCACAGTTGCAAATATATCTAACGACGCAGGCATTTTGTGATTTGGTCCTTTTAGCTTGTTGTTCGATATATAGTTCGAAAGCTTCAAGAGTAATTAGTTTAAGTGATGTGATTTTGATAAACTCTAGAGCTTTTGAGAATACCTCTGCGCTTAACATTAGCTTAATTGGTTCGAGTCTGCGATTCTTACTCATTTGTGTAAAGTTTTTAGAACACAAAGCTGCCAGTACCGAGATCAGAGGAGAAGTTATGAGGACATTGGTGTCCTTTTCAGTTAGGTTCACATTTAATTTTTCTTTTGGAGTCCCAGAGTATTATACTCTGTTAGAGGAAATCGATACACTTAACTGCCTTTATAGAGAGTTGTGGCTATTGGTCAGTAAGTATGCTAATTTAAAAGGTCCGTGTACTTTGTTGAACCACGCTTATGTATCTCTTGGGCTGTTTAATGAAAAGGAGGAAAAAAAGTTCATTATTAATGCCAATCTTGATTGAGGACGTTGATGTGTATTTCAGAGAGTGAGCACTACAATTATGCTTCTGTTTTCTCTGCGGTCATGTGATTGAGCTATATGCCTAAATTTAAACAGCAACTGAGCGAGCGACTCACACATCTAGCCCTGCTTGGGTAAGCACTACTGTAAGCTCAATTTATATATGTCGAGACTTCTTGAAAATCGTTCGGCCTAGAGACCAACCAAATACAGAGAAACAATTCTGTTCATGTTTAGACCTTGATGGTTTTCCATTCGTCAAAAACAGCTCACATCCAATAACTTGAGGTAAGAGTCACTCAAATTTCTTCACTTTATTTTTATCGTTTACACAATAATGGAGATCGTAGATCATTTGCCGGCATAATCTGCACCCCGACGATATTATTAAAACAACCACTTTAAGGCATTTCAGATTAGACACAAGAACTTGGAAAGGTATTAGCGTATAATACGTACGATTTGTGGTATAGCTTAAAGTCTGACTCCAGCGCACCGGGTAGGCGTACATAAATAGTGTTTCTGGTTCACCTTCTTACCAACGCCTCTAATTCAGTATACTTTTTACAGCGTGTATTTGGGTTAAATTTGTGCTTTTCGCAATCAGCCAAGACAGTCAATGACCACTAATCTTATCAAAAGAGAATTCTTTCATTTATTGACAATTTCAGTGCTGAGTCTAACCACGAAATGGGTATCAAAGAGTTCCAGTTGTTTTTTTTTTGGCAAAAAATCGATGAGGCCAGCCCAGTCTTCCCATATTTTGCCCGCCAACATGGCGTATCGAAGGTGTTCCTATGACTTCGACTCGAGTTCTGTCGTAAAGATTCCCTAAAATCTCTTGAAATAAATAAAGATATCTACCCTTTTTCTTAACATTTGTTGGAAAAAATGTGGGAAATGACATATTTTGATTACATGTTACCTCAACGTTCGAAGGTCGTTTTGCGCCGCCTTGAGGAGTAAAAAATTCACCCCAACTTGTTAGCCTGATATCTCCAATGTTACTCTGATTCAGAAGTTGCCATTTTACTTTGAACAATGTTTGTTCATGGATGAATTGATTCCATTAATAAAAAAATGGGGGGATTTTAAGGTCAAAGGAGAAAGTTATTAATCTATGATGACCTAGCTATATTTGGGACCATCTTCTAAATCAGCTTACCGGCCAGAAATATGGTCTAAGCACTTATATCGCCCACAGTAAAAGCCAATTCCAGGAGTTTTCCTAATACCATGAAAGTATCTGTTGATTTGGACAAAAGAAAATATCTCTGAGCGGCATTGTCACAGTTGGATAAATATTTGGTTACTCAATGAATGTAAGTGGAGGCGCGGTGGCCTCATGGACACTTTACTCTCACAGTGCTTCTCTTCACCCACCCTTCACAGGTGTACAAATGGGTACCAGCAAATGTGCTGGGGTAACCCTGCGATGGACTAGCATCCCATCCAGGGGGGAGAAGCAATACTCCTAGAATTACAAATTTTGAAAAAAAAAAAGATTCTTGTGAATTCCAACCTAGTTAATTTGGTTATGATTGGTGACTTACTCAAATCTGATGCCTGTCAGCTATATTAACAGTTGATCCTTCTTGTTACTCCAACAGTATTTTTGAGTGGGTTTTAATTTCGTTTTTCGTATGTTTCAATATTCTTATCAGTATCAATAGATTTCATTTATTTTGGTGGTGATGAGAGAGGAGTAAGGAAGTGGCGTGGGCATGGTACATGTTTTTTTTAAGCCTGAGAATAGAAATAAGTTCGCACTGTGTTCTTCCTAAATAGGTCGGTGCCAATATAAGTTCAAGTCTTACCGAGTATCGTGTTTCCCGGGCAACCCACGGGTATGTTACTGTCGTCCGTGCCAGGGGAATGGGGAATTTGACCTTCCGTAGCTGGGGTGGGAAATTTGAAACGGAAATGACAAGTCTTTCTGGCGGAATATGCGTGTTTTATCTTAAAATGTAGAGGGTTAAAGACTTCATTTTCGCGAGCGAATGGCTCAGAAGTAAAGGTCTACAAGGTCTAGAGTTTTAAAGCTTGGTAAATAAGTAGAAAGTTACGGTATTTAAGTTTGATGTTGGCATACTCGCCTTGAACTGTTTGTTTTCTACTTGTCATGTGAAAAAACTTGCGTGTTTTTATGAGCCACAATTCAGCCGAGTTTCACTGAACATTTCACTTTCAGATTCTGTATTAGAGACTAAAAGACTTCAGGCAGAAGTGTTAAATTCGACCTGCCGAACTATTCAAGTTTTTAAACTACTGCAGAATGTGAACTTTGATGGTTTTTGAACTTTGATGGTTTGACATTTTTGACAGCTTAAGTCTTGTACAGCCAATCAGATTATTTGAACCATTCTAACGAGGATTCTGATTGGCTTATTGTAGCGTGCTTTGTGAGAGTATAGAGCATGCTGACGACACTGTTGTTCGCTTTGGAAATAAAGTTTGTTTTGAGAATTGAAAGTAATGCTTGGGAGTTTGCCTGGGGATATTGACGGATTCTTTATTATAAAACAAATAGAGAAGCCTTGACTGTGCTCTGTTCTGTTTTAAAGCACTTAGGAAGCGGCTAGAGCACTCAAGAAGTGGGGAGAAACACGAGACGTAGTCGAGTGTTTCTCCCTACACTTCTTTCGTGCTCTAGCCGCTTCCTAAGTGCTTTACAACAGAACAGAGCACAGTCAAGGCTTCACTATTTGTTAACGAGAGCATTTTCCTCACACAAGGCCACAAGGAACTGGGAAGTAAACTGAAGTAAAAGGGGAAATTAATCACTTTAATAATAAGTTTGGCTTTGTGTTAAAAACGGGAACTTTTCCAATATTGAAGCTCAATGATATATACCAACAACTCAGCGTTCGTCACGGACTCAAAACAAATTTAAATTTTCGCTCTAGTTGTGGACAAAGTTGTGAAAAAAGGTCGAAGGAAAATAAAATAATAAAAAACACTAACCTTATCCAAACAGGATCCTCAGATATAGCGATACATTTCCACTTTTAGACTCAAGAATAAAGTTGATTGCTTGTGCATTCTCCCGAGTTCAAGTTAATGTCTATATCAAACCACATTCCGTTTCGAGTTTTCCATAGTATCCGGAAACTTTCTGGACAGTTAATGTACTTAAACCGTTTTCTTCTCATCGGGGAGTTGATCTGAGAGACTCAAGGACTAGGTCCCAAACATAACCAGGTCATTACCAGTTGATAATTTTTTTTCCTTGACTGTTAGATATTCCCAATTTTGTATTTATGAAATCTGTTCATCTATGAACAAACGTTGTTCATAGCAAATGGTAACTCCTGGATCGAGGTAACACTGGAGATATTAGGTTATTAAGTTGGGGTAAATTTTTTACTGTTCAAGACAGCCAAAAGCGACCTTAGAACGTTGGGATCATATGTTGTTAAAACCAGATATTTGCCATATTCTTTAAGTATGGGCAGACCAAGTGTACTTTCCCGTTTTTTTGGCCGAGCAAAAAAAAAACTGGAACTTAATATGCATTTGTGATTAAGACTCTAAAGCAAGACTTCATGCCAAATTTAAGCCAAATCGACGGGATGAAGTGGCAGACGAATTTCGAAAGTTACAGACTATCGCACTTAAGATCTTTCCAATAGATAATTTAAAAGTAGAGTTAGCAGAGAGTGATAAGTCATATAAGCCAGGAGAAGTTCATTCAGGGTAACCCCTTTTAAAGGAGCTACACAAAATAATATCTTTCTACTCTAAAGTGCATCATAGGTTAAGTTTGCAAACGGTATATTTAGCCCTTCCCTCCTTGCCTTGAGTCAAACGTATTGTCAGAAATCAAGATACAAATCAGGTGCAACCAAATATGTGAAGACATCAAAATTGAATTAAGATGTGCTTAAACATGCATGCTCAATGAGAAAATTCAATTTTTGCAGAGTACGTTGTAACTTGTAAAGGAGCCATAAAATTGCCCTTCGTTTATGCTCAGGTACACACTTTAATGATCCTCTTAACTTTAAGTATTTGAAAATACTCATAAATTAATTTTAGTTCCTCTTTGTGAAAGGGTATTCTCGAAATCTTGGACGACACTGAAACCACCAAAAAGAAAAGTGTGATAGAACTTCAGTTGGAGAGAGACTTTGAACTTACTCTCAGGGGAATTTATTGTTAATCGGGACTTTTAAATTCTTGACAGTCGCCATTCAAAAGCCATAAGTTCCATCAAGGACAAGATAGCCTTAATTTATTTGTTTGAGTAAATATTATTTTATCTGAGGTTTCTTATCTTCATGATTTGTAAGACCTATTAGTTTCAAATACTTTGCAGCGATTAAAAGTTGGGACAAAGTGAGCCCAGATAAAGGGAGAAATTTCTTGCAAAAGTTCTACTTTTTGATATAGCTGCTTCACCAATATAGACCCTTAATGGAAAAGATGAAGTTTAAAATGATTTGAGATAGAGGAGTGGAAAACTCTCTGGGTGGTTAGAAGAAGACATAAGGTGACGTTTACTTTTTCGGGGGGGAGCCAAAAGCTAAATGTAATATGAATAAACCCCTATCATGGTGGTTACAATGTTCTCTATGTTTGACTGTCTTTCCTCATTGCAGGTTCCAAGCTATTTAGCAGCTTGTTGGAGTGCGAGTCTTACCAGTACTTAAGGAAAATCTGTGATGGTTTGGACACAACCATGGCAGGCGTTGGTGACTATCTCAATGTCTGTTCGTATTATGCTTTTGATTACTATGAGATTGCCTCAATTTATGAGAAGCAGAGGGATGGGCCATCCAGAGCCCTAATCGATTACTTACCAGCCACACGTGAACAGCTGACAGTGGCTAAGTTTGTTACTGTGGCGAGAAAAGTAGCAAAGAGAGGTGATGTCGCAAAGCTGTTGAAGGAGTATGACTTTTTGTTAGAAAGAATGGCAAGGTTTTTTCATTTCAGATAGTGTCATTTTCATTTCTTGTTCTAATCAGTATTTGACATCGTTGTAATTCAAAATAGTTTCACTTGCCACCATAAAAACTTGATGTAGCCTCGGGTACGGAAAAGGACCCAACTTTTAAGGGGATGTCTTGATTGGCATGAATTTAATGTTATCTTCAATTTACTAATAATTTAAATGTTAGAGATATGTATATACCTGCGAAAGTAAATTTTAGATCATTGATTGTTTTGTTGTTTTAATCTTGAGTCGTTAACGGGACAAAAGGGGCAAACACCTTTTCTATACTGCTTTGAGATTACCTATCGCAAGGACACTGTGTTTCGTTTATCAATTAGGCGTTGCCTCTTGTTGATAGATTTATTCGAAGAAAAGAATCGTGATTGAAATTAATTTTCTACATTCGGATTGAAAAGCGTTAGGTTATTATGTTTCAAATCAGTTTTTCAGCAGAATCGAAGTGGCAAAGAAGTTGTTTTGTTATAATCTTTCTGTCTCTAAATCCGCTTACCTGGAGAATCTGCTAACCTGTAAAGCGAGACTATTGTAACGACCCGCCACAGAAATAAGTTTACATTGAAGTTTTTTGATTTAGCCAAAACAGTTAGGGTCAATTAACTATGCCATGAATCAAAAATAATTCACATTTAACTTATACAAATTTCAGGGCTCAAGGGACTAAAAAGCAGAAAAGGAGAGTATTATTATGCATACCTTAGAATCTCTTTTTTAACTTTCCTTTTTTATCTGGACCACATTATTTGAACATTGTGATTTATATCAAAGGTCACTTCAATTTAACTTCGACAAAATGCTGAGTGTATCGCTGAACATTTAGAATATTCGAGATATGGCTCACTCGTTGGAACCATTTTCAAATGTTAGCTTTCTTGCGAACAAATGGTGATCTTTATTCATTTCCCTTGACATGCATTGGAAGAACCTGAGGATGTCGGCCTCGATGACAATCGAGCTTTTGGCGTTGCCATCGGTCAGGAGAATGGCCATTATATCGTCTCTTCATGATACATCGTCTATTTCATGTTCGATGAAATTACCCTTAGCACACTTGAGCCAGTAAGTTTTCTGCTAATGATCTTCTTTTGTGCCTTGAATAGGCTCTATTGTTAATTAAAGTATTTCTTTTCCCAATAGCGGTTGCTTCGATGGTCTTCCATATATTAACTTTGCCGGAAAGATCGCAGTAGTCTCCCTCTTCCCTGCACGACGATTTTCCTCCTCTCTTTAGTCTTGGTCGGGGGATTTCCTTTCACTTTCAGCTTGCAGTATACCGTTGTCTTTGTCGCCTGCAAAGGAAATTCCCTCATTCGATTCCATTTTAATTTTATATGTTGGCCTGGATTAGGATGTATGCTTGACCTCTCTACTTGGGATGGCGTATCCGTTTACGTCCACTGTTTCTCGTCTTTGCATTTGAAATCGTTATCGTTGTCATGTATTATGTCATATATCTGCAAGAGGTATATTTTCGTATTTGAAACAGGATTGCAGAAGTTGCGAAGCAAATGTATTTTCTTTTTTCGAAGTCTTTTATTTCTGTCCGCCGCTGAGATAAAGATACAACCCAGGCGTTGTCTGACCGAAACTAATTTTGATTGATCTTCCTTAATCCTCGTATTATGTTTTGAGGATTAATGTCTACTTAATAGAGAGTTCAAGGTACTAATAATGGTATTATGAATAAAAACTATGAGGGTACTTTTTAAACTTTGTTTCCTTTGCAACCAAATCTTCGATTCAACGCTGCGAATTGTTTGGGTATCCTGCGTGCGAATTTACGGTTGATATCCATGAAGCTAGAAATTTTCGAGTTTTGATTTTTGTGAATTTTCCGGTTGTCCTTAATCCCCACCACAAGTTCCCATAGGAAAAGGAAAAATTCCATCCAAAGTACATTACCTCAATTAAATTAATTATGTCTTTCGTATTATTGAGGTCGGAATCGCTTGAAATGCTCATTCAAGACTAATCTACTATGTAGCTTTCCTCTCTATAACTCAACAGGTTAGAAAATTTTACAATATCAGGGTTCTTTCCTTGTTCACGTTGTACTTTTCAGAATTAATTTCAAGAAATTTGGGCGATCTCAAACTATAATAAGTTGTTTGCATAAACATACACGTGCTAATACCCGTCTCGACTTGGAGGCGACATTGGCTGTCGCAACTTCCTGCTTTATTTCTTCATATGCCTAGGGCCAAGCTTGGGCAGATTTTTCTTTTCTTGATTACAGAGGAATTTGAACGTATCCAAAAAAGCCCTTTATTCCAAATTTGAAGAAAACCTATGCGAAATCATGACTTCAAACGCTGCTATACATGAGTTATCCACTCATACGAAAATGCTTTCGGACACGTGTTCACACATACTTGTTACCGAGGGAAATGCTCAGGAAAACATGATGTTCATTGGCGTGTTTAATCAAAGTTGAATATCGCGTTTTCCCGGTGTTAGCCGACCCATGGCAACACATAGAAAATACTGTGTTACAACACAATAGAAAATCGGGGGAAAACATTTAGGAAAACGGAATGTTAGCCAGGGTAATGCTTGATGCTGAAAAACAAGTGTCCAATATCACCGCATTAACCACTTCAGGAAAACACTAAACAGACACCGTGATAACCCACGCTGGATAGCCGATGTAAAACTGTCAACAAAACACAGTGTACAATGAGTTTTCCAGGCCCTGGAACGCCTGCCATGAACGCCATGTTTTCCTATAGTGAATACCGAATATGCAGTGCGTTCTCCGTAAAAATGAAAACGAAATTTGAACAAGACGTTTCCCAGGCATTCACTATTTGGCTAAATTGTGGGCGAACGAGGGATTTTTTGCGGTGTAATGTTTGAGGTAAATAGATCGACTTCACATTTAGTATAGCCATGATGTGGACGCGTTTCGATCAGAACTTGGAAATTGAGGGAGGATGTAAAGCAAGGCCTGGTCGAAAGAGTAGAACTAGGTCAAAAGAGAGTTGGTGAGGGTGATTGCGTTCGCATTGAATGGAGTCTTACAAATCCGTGCTAAATTCTGAGATTCTCCTTTCGATTGACTGATACCACCTCCCACCCCTTTTTGTTTCACCTGTGTCTTGTTACCGTTGAGATGTCTTTGGGATGACGTCAATTGCCTTTTTTTGGCAGTATAAGATTTCCCACATGCTCTAATCTAGTACCAACCGGTAGGCATTTTGCGTGTCAGCATATTTTTAAACATCTCGCTACTGAGCCGAACGAATGAGCTTCTACCGATTCTTTTCATTACAAGATATTATTCATGTATCAAAAGTCTCAACTTGTTCAGCAGGACTCGACAAGAAATTAAATAAAGACTGAACCGTAAGTACAGTGTTACTGTTCTTTCAATAATCTCTTGATCGTTAAACGATTTGAAACCGGCATGCTGTGACCAGTCTCGTTATAAAGTATCTTTTCATATCTCAAGCTTTGTGACCATGCAAATTGCTTTACTTGAATACAGTTTGCCATTTCGGACACAATATCTCGAAAACCCTTGCCTGACCAAGTCGAGTGGACTGGAGACGTGCTCCTGAACCATGTGCTCCGTTGGAATGTTAACGAAGACTATGATTATTGCAGTTGTGGTAAGTTCACATTCTGTTTATTTCAGGCGGGCAAAATTCAAGCGATGGATTAAACGTATATTGTTTAATTCAGATAGTTTGTTTTACAATCAGCAGAGAACGTCGGAAATCATTATTTCGTGATATTGCTACCTATGACATGTGAAGTAAATTCATGACATACACCGGTAGTATTGAGCATATGACATCAACTTCTCTTTTCCCCTATTTTTCCCTTTAAGATGCTAACTGTATACCAGCTGATATCTATAGGGTAAGGAAAAAACGCTGATCTGGCGGTAACAGAGGGGGAAGAAACTGTTCCAATAACAAAATGAAGGTTCCTTCTTTTTCAGCTCCAAGCACAAGGAAGAGATTGCTTGGGTTGCAAAGGTGATGAGATCACCTGGCGTAGCGATAAACCAGGAAAGAAAAACACGTGTATACCGTGTATCGACTGCCCGGACGGAACTGAACCGTCGATTCCTTGCGGAGGGACCGCCAAATATGGAACACACTTACATTGCGAGGCATGCAGGCAAGGAACCTATTCGGACAATTATGGAAAAGGACCCTGTAAGCCATGCTCTCTATGCTCTGTCGGACGTACAGTGACAAGGAATTGTTCTGCGACGAAGAACACTCAATGTGGCTCTTGTAAGTACGGCTATTACCAGAAAGTTGTCACCATTAACCTGCTTTCCCATTGCCTCCCGTGTTCTGTCTGCTGTGGGGACGGTAAAGATAAGTTAGAAAAGAAATGCGCAGATCAAGGGCTTCCAAGTCAACAACATTGCAAACTCAGAGCCGCGCCTAGCTGTCAACTGTTGCGGACGACTTCGAAGATCACATCGAGCACGTCATTTTTAGGAGCAAATCATACGGCGAAGAAAGGAACAATCCGAAAGGGACAATCAGAGGAAGCTACTTCAGCTGCTTCATCAAGAACACTGGAGCCGTCCGCAAGAACCACTGTCATAACCACAAACGCGACATTTTCCTCTCATGAAACGTTACCTACCTCTCAGCATGGAACAAGTTCAGCTTCAGAAGGATTTCACGGCAGTAAATCAAAGGGACCTTTTTCGAGAGAAGCGTCGATAATAATAATGGCACTGTTATTGTTGTTTCCTCTATGAGTGGGATTTCCATTATTTTCATTGCAATAGTTGTAATTGTTCTTAAGCGAAACAAACTTGCACGCTTCTTTGTAAGGACGAGGTGTGGTCCTATCCTGAGGTGTACAGACGCTGAACTCGGCAAACTAACAGAGAGTACTCCGTTGGATGTTGTGCCATTAGAGATAGGAGATAGGTGCATTTGCACTATTTTGAACACAGTCGAATGACAGCAAATTACTCAGTCGTTGAGACACTTTCTTAAAGGACCAACCAATCAGGACAAAAACACAGGAGAAGACGGCGATTAAAAAAAATTATTTCTATTTTTAACTAGAGTTTCGCGAATGGCTAGATGTGTTAACTATCTCTTTCGGCGCTACGCCTCAACTTAAGTATAACGTATGTGAACAGTGCTGAGTTCCAAATGGAAACTTAAATAATTATTTGTCGAGGCTCACGTTCTCAACTTTGACTCGTCCTTGGTGCAGTCGCTGTCGTAGTTTGCTTAAAGTCGCAGATCCCAAGGGAGACCCTTAATATCAATCTATAGGTACAGCTGTTTCATGTTTAAGACACAGATAATGACAAAGATTTCTAAAAGCGAGGAGTGGTGGACGTGAACCTTATGTAAGACTTGACAAAACAGGTTTCATTTCATTTATTTATGAAATGCTAACAGCGTAATATTTTCGTGATAGGTTTGGTTCTCAAAATTAATTATTGAAAGAAAAAGTTACTTCAAATAAGTAAATAAACAAGTTCGAATAAACACAAAGGGAACAAAATAGAGGACAGTACAAAGTAGGATTAGAACTCAGATACTCAGACCGTGACGTTTCTCCGTGACCAGTTTCTCCTCCGTTTACCCACTTAATGTTTTCAAAGTAGCGTTCTTTTCCAGTCTAACAACATAAATATCAGTAATTTTCCTTTTCTTTTTGTAGTTCTGGTTTCCTTAAAAGATTTGAAGTCCCTTTCACTGAATATACTGAGGAACGATGTCGTCGAACTTTTGAAAGGATACATTTACAGATAAGTGAAATATTTAGACACATAAGGTTCGTATTGAAGAAAGGGGAAATTTGTAATACGAGCGAGATCAATTAGGAACGGGTCACGACCACATACATTTCTCACTTTTACAATTCTAAGGCGGCTAAAGCTCATGACACGAAACTAGATTGAGCGTCACTGTTACCGTTGCGAGATGAGTTGTGTTGCATGTAGCTTTGTAGGTTTTCCATCGGGACAGTTTACACAGGAACGGTTCTTTGTTGATGTAATGTTTTGCAATGTTTTGTAAATAAAACTGACTTCCTTTTTCGCCCTATTAATATGTCTGTTGTCTTTGGTACGTCTAAGGCCTTTTTGAAGCAATGGCACGTGCGAGTAAAAGCAACGTATGGGCTTGTTGTTTGTGTCTGCTGTTTGTGTGACCCTCGATTTATATCAGAGTCCGAGCGGATAACGCTATCTAGTGGCTATGCAGCGGATAAATGTCAGCAACACGTACTGCGCTACTCACAGGATGGACAATTATTCATAGCGTTACCTACCTATGGCGATAGGTTATTAAAAATGTCAGATGGTACAACGTGTTGGGGTTAATTAGTAGCTTTCTGTAAACTGTAAAACTAACCACATCTACGTCATTTCCATACTTCACATTGCTTCTTGAGGCTTTGCACGAAAGACATATGGTCAAACCGGTTCAATCAACGTACCTAAATATATCATCTTGAATGTTGGGGTCACATAGCTGTTGAGAGGCCCTGCGCCTGAGAAACGACCGATGATTTCTGGCTAAAAATTAAAATCGGCCGATTTTTATCTTCCAAGTAGAGTTTACCTAATACTATTTAAAAACGAATTTCTTTTGCGCAGTTTCGCTTTAAACCAAAAATATGGAGCCGCAAACTTGTTACGTCTGATAGCAGCAACATCTGTCCCAAAATATGCCCTTTTAAAAAACCGGTTCAAAAATCACTATCGCAACACAAAATAATGAGAAAACTACGCAGTTATGAAGAAAAAGGCCTTTTAATGCAATATCATTCGATAAACATCGGAAAACTGCAGAAGCGAATGAAAAATAAATTCTCAAATATTGCATATCAAATTAGATGGAGCGTTGGAGATGATTTTAAAATAATCATTTCTACAAACTCCAAAGCTGTTGAAAGCAATCACAGTGATGAATCAGACATTAGAAGGATATACATTACGTTTCTGGGAAAACATTTTTCGGCCAAAGTATATTGACCTTGCACGAAGCGTTCAAAGTTGCAGTGTTTACCGTTATGTTGCTACTTCGGCGAAACACTTCTCTGTTACCAATATGTCCATGGATAGCGTGGTAAATGTCACTTTAAACCTTGCTAGGCGCTCAAATACCATCCTAAATAGAATGATATGGTATTTAAGGAGAAAGGAAGATGAAAAAAATAGGCATAAAAAGAAAATAATTTACATTTACTATCTGCTGAGATGAGTTGAATCTTGCAAATGTTATAGCGTGACAGCACTCATTTATCCAAACTACGGCGGAATCCAAGCAAATGCGTAAAATATAAGTAAAAAAACAACTCTTCCGCCGCCAGAAATCCTGAAGTGAAACAGTTTTATATTATTGCCATGAATGATGATGAATTCAGGCGAAAATTAACCTCAGATAGTGTCTATTTAGGGCCTGTTTATATGGAGGTGGGGGACCCTAGGTAGGTGAAGTAACCCGCCTGTCCATATATATTCTTATTTTATTTTGATCACGTTTACATGATATGTGAAGTGACCCGCCAAGGTGGGTCGCCCGGTTTGCCAGGTAGGGTAACCCTGTCAGCCGGGGTGACAATTTGCCATGTAAACGTGTCAAGGTGGGTTCGCGTTCATGGAAAAAAGCTCAAAAGCGAAACATGTATGTTTTAAAACTTTGTACATTTCCTAGCCGTCTCATGGCAGAAATCACCAGAAACTGCAACGGACACACAAGGAGTGTAAAATGTTCACATTTCGGAATATTCAGCGTTGTAAATCGACCATATTTGGTTTCCCAAGCTATTCCGTAGAACGTATTAAGTCAACGGTTACTCGCGAAACCAACACCACGTAACACAACGCGTGACACTTTTATGAATAAATACATATGTGTCCGAGAATTAATCCTTCGTCCTTTTCGAGATGTGAGCTTGGGACGCCTCTGCTCAAACTCCTTAATTGCAAGCGCAACAACAACCTCAAGAAATCTCACCCTAGCACCTCGAGGTTGTAAGATTGCATGTAAACACGTTTTATTTTTCGACCACGGCTAGGCGGGTTACCTCACCTACCTGGGGTCCCCCACCTCCATGTAAACAGGCCCTTAGTACTTTGGTGGGCTCCATGTATTTCGTTACATTCCAACGGACGTTACGGGTCAGCGCTTATAGGTGTCAGCGGACGTAAAAATAGAAACAACCAGGTAATCATGGCGGAAGTCGTGACGTGGTCAACCCTGCCATGGCCAAGGAGGTGTTTCAGTTGTTTGATATATTTGTACCGATAGGCTCACGTAAGAATAAAACACACAACTTTTGGAGGATTTGTTTATCATAAAAGTTTTCTTATTTTACAGTGCTTGTCTTATAGGGTATTTTTGATTACTCTTCTTTTATCTTCCATTAGCTATATGTTCACCCTGTCGTAAAGAACATAAAGCAGATACGAATTCTACATTGTTTACTCTTGAAGAGGAATGTACAAAAACACATGCTGCTGAAAAAACGTACAAGTTAAGGTATGCTCAAATTGTAGAAATATCTTTTCTGAGGAAGTACGGGCTGAGAACTTATAGGTGTTTCATGACAGTACACAACATTCATTATATGTTCACTTATCTTCTCTGTGAGTAATAAATGAAGTTTTAATTTGATTACAAGGCTAAGCAACATTAATAAGTAAAAATTAAAAATAATTTTTATGTGACAGAGAGCCTCTGAAGACTATACACTACGCTGAGCCGAGTCCAGGTTTTGCAGCAACGCCTAAGACGATCTTCACGAGTCCTCAAGATCCAGCCTGGACCCTAAGTGCAATGAATGTACAAGGCAGTGGTAGCTCCGACGAAGAAGAGCCCTTTATCACTCCTCGAGATGCTGAAATTCTTCATTTGTGGAACAAGGCAATGTCAAAATTAGCGATATCAAGTTCGTCTGGAGACAACTTCTCCCCCTTAACATCTCGCCTAAAGACATCATGGGAAAATTTTACCGAACTCGATCGCCAGAAAAGCCAGGAAAAAGCTCTTCAAGGTTGTCTTCGGGTTTGTGAGGTGGTAGCCCCGAACGCAAAAGGGGATTTATTTCAGGCGCTATCCAAGTCGAGTGCAATAGCATGAGAAGACGATCTTAGTGAAGAACTATCTGCGCTCATGACGGCATATAGAGATGCACCTGGTAAAAGCGTCAAATTACAGATTTTAAGTCTGTATGCCTACAGATTCCCTACAGAAAAACCTTTTGAAATATCACGAACCATATAAGCCCTTCACGCGCTGGTAAATTAAACAAGCCAGGAAACACACTAAAGAAAAAGGACCTGGAATGCCACAGGAAAAAACCGTCCAGGGTTGATCACGTCAAGACTTTTGACGCTGGTAAGTGGTCCTTTGTGCCTTGGATGCTAACACAGCTTTGAAGGCCTCCAGTACTTGCCCATACCATGGCGATGGCGAGCACAAACACGTAATGTTTTCACTTCTTCATGAGACGAACGGTCAAGGCCAGCCCTTTGCAGGATAACCGCGTATTCTTTCAGGTTTGCACGCGACAAAAAACAATTTTTTAGATGTGTAGTTACATCATCTCGACATTCATACAGAAACACTGGAGACCCTCGTTTGATAAAGAACAAATGAATACATTCAGTTACATTCAGCTGGATTATAGCAGTTTCACAACATCGATAGATGAATACGATTTAAGCTCTTCCGTGATAGATACGATTTGGGTCATCTAGTACCTACTTTAAAAACGATAACTGCAATTGATTTAACTATAGGTATGTTTTTTTATCATTGTCTCGTATAGATCTGCGGTGTCGGAGGAGACTTTCCGTGCAAACCAGGACCAGAGATTTCTGTGCCATGTGGTACATCAGTAAAATACGGGACACCCGTTCACTGTGTTTCGTGCCAACCGGGTAAAACATACTCAGGAAAATATGATAAAGCGCAGTGCATGGCGTGCACAATATGCTCCACAGGGAAAACACTGGTCAAGAACTGCACCCTGGTCTCGAACACTCGGTGCAGCACAGAGTGCCAGAAAGGACTTTATTCTTTTCCGTTTAGTTTTGCTTGTTGGCCTTGCTCGGATTGTTGCCTTGAAGGTAAAGATGAACTTCCAGAAGAGTGCAGCGGAAATTATCTGAAGAGGTGCGCAAGGCGTTCATCGCCCTGTAATTATGTGCACACCACAAATACCCCGGCGACAAATGGAACGACGATTCTCTGGGCTCTCGTTCAGTTGTCATCGCAAAGAGATACACCGACACCCTTTCCAACCCAGGAAGGGTAAAAGGTTACATCACCAGCACTTACTCGGTCAAATTTCCTAGATCTAGGATCGACCAATCCATAACTACCACCAAATCGACAGAGTCTCTGAAAGAGGGGAGTGGAAATGAAGTGCTCCTTATTCTTTCCGGAGTAGGCGGAGCGCCTGGAATTACATTGTTGTTTGCTCTAATAATAGCGATGACTCGTCATGGATGGTTCTGCCGGCCTAGTTCCCTCAGGTGGGCAAAATCAGAGAATTCAGCCCAGTTTCCATTGGGACAGATCGAGCAGAAGCCAACTTTATCACAAGAGGAACTCAGGCCTGGTGAGTTCCTATATCAACAAAAACTGACTGTTTGAGAACGCTAAGTTAATGATCAGCATTTGATTGCTTGTGTGAGCCTTTTCGATGCAGTTTTCGCTCTTATTCATGCTGTTATCGTTATTTGAGTTGTGTTATTGTTAAATTAAGATAGGTTTGTTTACACAGTTTTTTATTTCATTTTACGTGAGTTAGTAATATCTTTATTTACACTTGGTAAAAAAGCTTCAGTAAAAACAACAGCGACTCAATGTATCTATTTTCAATGTTAAATTGGTTAAACTATCAATACACTGTTTTACGAGATTGCCGAGTGAGAATCCAATGACTCAAATACACAATTAATTCGCTTTTTAAATTTACCTATTGATTTGATTTCTCTGACATTCTCAGGTAATGAGTTCCACAAAAGGGCACCGCTGTAACTAAAACTACGTTTTAAGTAATTAGTGCGCGGCCTTGGCA